AAATCGTTTTATTCCGCATTTTATCTTTTTTTAACATTTTTGAAACGGTTCAAAATAATCAAGTTTGAGAAACTGTCATAATCAGTGTTGCTGAATATTCTACTGATCACGGATCAGTCATTTTCGTCCAATATAATTTCGAACTTCTACGCTTTTCATAACTCACGGTTTTTTTTTTCTCGATCTCGTTCGCGCTGAATTGAAAGACGCGCTTTGGGCAAGCCCGCTTTAGTTGTATCGACAACGACGCCTGAAATTTATACCTTTTCATTTTCAATAAGAGCGAATTCAACTACTCGTTCTTCATTTGAAACTTAGGAAAACGCTTCTTTTTTTTTTGATATCTTAGGCAAGTCCTGGGAAGATGTTGGAAGGTAACCAGTAGGAGGTTGAAAGGTGTATAGAACCCAGAAGGTCTTATGAAAGCCTTTGGAAGGTGAAAATGAAAATGCCTGCTGGAATGCTTGTGGGAGACTTCCGGCGAACTTTTTTTTTCTGAGTAGAAGGTGTTGGGGAGCTATTTGGAACTTGCTGGAAATCTTCCAAACGACTTCCGAGGAACCGAAAGCAGGAGCTTCCCAAATTTTACCTGGTGTTGTGTTCCGCCACTCTATCTTTCTCCAGAATCATGCTTATCTTTCTTATCAATAACGTTTACCTTGTTGGGATGGAATATATAGTAGCCTAACATGTCCTCCAAACAGTCGAATGTAATCTCTTCGTCGATAAATACTCCAGTGCTATTGCGGTGAACAATATGGTCGTTTATCCTGACCGGTTCTTCTTTCCCGTAATTTTTATCCAAATCTGGAATTCGGACGGGATGGGGATTGTGGGATAAGAACTTTGATTGAAACTGTCAAAACTCGAGCTTAAAAGACGCTAGAAGAGAAAAATATCAATGAAGAATATCTATTATTTTTCTAAAGTTTAAAAAAACTCAATTTTTTTAACCGCTGAATTTGACTTGCAAAAAGTTTAAAACCATAAAAATCACCTTCACTCCCATCTCTTGTGTAGTCCAACAAGACGCCGACCGACACCACAAGAAAATCTTGTCCTTCGTCTGAATAACTTTATCAAGTAGTTTGTACTTCCAATTTGCTTCACCTTCCCACTTTCTCAACAAAAAATCTCCCCCTCGTTTTATAAACATAATGGTTTCTATCTGTGGCAGGAAGCTGGAGGTAGCCGATTTTGATAAGCATTCAATGAAAGCTTACCCATGGAAAAAATAAAGATTTTCCAGAAAACTTTCGTCATCTTTTTTGGCTATTCTTTCTTCCCTTTCCGGAACAATAATCTGATGTAAGTCATCTTCTGTAAATAGAATATAGAATCGCAAGAAAAAAAAATTGAGAAATCTACTTTTTCGAAAATTTGGTATCTTTAGCAGTAGAGGTGGAGCGGATAAAAAAAGTGCTTATGTAGATACTATAGAAAATTATTTTTTTCTTCCTTTTTTTAATAAATCTATACTATAATGAGGTCAACTTTTACCAGACTGATTGCTCAGTTCCTGCTTATTCGCATGAATTTTCGAAAGTGTTTCCAATAATAACTTCTACCGTTAAGTTTCTTTTAAATCCTGTTTGTTAGAATGAATCGATGAATGAAGATTTTTCATAAGAAAACTAGCAGAAGTTTTGAAAAAAATTTCAACTGAATTATAAATTGCAGGTATAATTCATTATAGACCAGTGTGAAGCTCAACGAGCTCACTGCGCTCCAAAATTTAATGAAGAACGTTAAAATCGATTCTCCGATAAATAGAGGAGAAGTATCGTTTAAAAGTTTGAATAACTTGAGTTTCATTATTGATTAGGGAAGAAAAGAAAAATAACGCTTACTATCCCTTTTTGCGATCAGGTTCTTCCTGTTTTCCGTAGAGAGCGTCTTCGCTGCTTCGGCGGTAGTGTTCTTGGACAAAAGTTTCTCGCGTTCTTCATTTTTCGTTTCCATCTTTTGGGTCGTTGCGCTGTGCGCCGTTTCACTTCCCTCTATTTCGTAGCCTGGAGGGCCTACAAAACTCCTTATGCAGGATTGACTCAAAAGAAACTGAATTCGAACTCATAATATTGCAAGTTGAAAGTTTTGAAAATCGGTTGAGTTTTCGCTGACACCTTGGAGAACTAGACTCGCATGCTGAGCAGGTGTCTCAACGGGTGTACCCGTATTAAACCCGTGTTTCTGAGGTTATTTTTAGTCTCAGTTGGGCTGAAACGGGGGAACAACGGGTGTAAGAGAAATATGTAACCCAGCTGTGCTAAAACGGAGTCTCAGTTGGGCTAAAAACTGCCAAAAGTTCTACCAGTTCTCAGTTGGGCTTATACGGGTTTAATACGGGGGCACCCGCTGAAACCCCGTGTTAGCACCGCTGGGTTACCCTGCTCAGCATTCGAGGAGGGTCTTGACTTTTTGACCTCTTTTCCAATAACAACAAAAAACGCAGACTTTTCGTAATCAATTAAAATGATCTACCGTTCTCTTCTTTTGGTTTCTGGATACTGCCATTGGGTTGGTTCGGACTTGTGAGTTCACATGGGGCACTCGGAAGGATTTCCGATCCACTTTTGAGTCGGAAAACTCCTTCAAAAACCGAAACGAACGTCTTCTCTTAAAAATTTCTTTCATTAAAAATGTATGAGCCTTACAAAAAAACAAGAAACGATATTTCAGAACAATCTTCAGTTTCATTTTTCAAGAACTACGTGTTAAGAAACTTGAAACGAACTGGCTCCTTGGATGACCCAGTAACTTGAATTTTTGCGCGTCGCGCTTTCCATGCCTTCTACAGACCCTATAAATTGAGAAATCATTTTTTTCGACAAAGTTTTCAGTCGGGCTGCTGAGAACGCCTCTCAGCCGTTGAAGTGATCCCAATAGTTGTAAAGGTGCGCATAAATTGCGACAAAGTTGAAGACAGCAAGCCATTTTTGAATACAGTTCGAAAAAATGTTCCTTGTACTATTCGATAGAGGATACTGCCATTATTCATATTTTGTCCTAGCTCTTAGTTTTTGGAGAATACTCTAGTGATCACTCATGGACTGAGCTCTTCTCAATTCTTCTAGCTTTCATGCGATGATTAGTTTTACTGAAAAGTAGAACTTTTGTCCCGTGCTAATTTGAAGCGTGCTCCGTCAGATCTACTCTAGGGGCTTACTCAAATCGGTTCCCTTGATCTTGTCAATCTTCTTCCACTGGCCATTTTGGCCTTGCTCGACTTCAACGATATATGCCTTCTTAGGGGCCTCTTCAGAATTATCCCGGGTGCTCCAGATGATGTCACCGCTTTCCGCCCTCATGTTAGTCGTCTCAAGTGGTCCTTTCGGTGGTTGCGACTGGTCGTCGACGAAAAGTTCAGAGGGCGCCGAGGCGGTTCCTGCCGAATAACCTTGCTCCATGGCGCGTTTTCCGGTGTCGGCGAGCTGGAGTAAAGGATTTGATTGGAAAAAAAAAGCCAAGAAGAAAGGAAAAATAACGAAAAGATCGAGATATATTAACTTCTCTTTGAACTTCAAACGTTACAAAGTACGTTTGGAGAGTACTGAGAACATTTTTCGATCATTTTCTGTTTGATTTTTTCACTTTCTTACAAAATTTTTCACTAGAAACTTCTATTTTTGACCTTTTTTGTCAATTTCCTAATCTACGTACTCATAGACTTTTTTCGATTTTTTACAAAATTTAGTTCTACGATTATAAGTTAGCGTCCTTGAGGTTTTCCCGTTGCTTTCCTACAATCTGTACTTCTTGCCAACGCTGTTCCTCACCTGCGGGTCTATGCAAACGATTTGGGCGTCGTACTTGTTGACGACCTCGCCGAGGCCCTTCGTCTTTCCATCAAACGATTTGCCGTTTCTCAGGATCTCCGCCTTTGGATCTCCCATTTTTTTTTTCCTCGATCTGGAAGGGGACTTCGACAGCGCGCGACTCGCCACCCTTCGCCTCGATGCCATTTTTTTGAAAAGTGTACGCCTTCTGTTTTTCGGCCTCCTGGGCGAAGACGTTGGTCGAGCCGCGCAGGTCGGCCTGGTCGATTCCGTAGACGTCGGCCTCTTCCATCTCTTCTTTGTAAATATGCAGGGTGTTCGTTTCGTTCCCCGTTCGCGTCTCCACCTTGCCACCTGGATAAGTAGGTGAAGTTGTTTTCAGTTCTACTACTTGAGTTCAAAATTGAACTTTAGAATTTTTGTTGGCAAAAAGATTCGTGTCTAAATTTTATAGCTTTATATAAAGCAAAAACCTTAAAATCCTTTCAAATCTAAAAAAAAATCAATTTTTCTCTCGATTTCCCTTTACTCTCACCAGGCGTGAGACTTTTCTTCTTTCCATTTCCGAACCAGACACCGGCCGTTTTCGTGAACTTTTTGTTATCATCCGGCTTAACGACGAAATTTTCATCCAGCGCTGGAAAATCTCATTTTTCGTTGATTTTTCGGGATTTTCAGACAATCAACGATGAGTTTAGTCGTGGTTTTGTCATCTTTGGTGGTACACCAATATTCGCCGCAGTCTTCGATTTGCGAGCTGTTGATAATCAACAGCCGCTTGAAATTCGACACTTCCACCACGTATCTGAAATTATTTTTTTTTGTTGTCAAGTTAGTTCTATTTTAAAAGTTGGTTCCTAAGCTAAAAGTAACTTAGGGCCAGACTTGTGCGTCAGGCCGGGCTTTGGGCCTCATTTTCACAAAAACCCCAAAAAGAATCCCCTTCAAAACAAAAATTTAAAATTTCATTTAAAAAAATTTTCACCGAAATGTGACTTTTTACTACTGAAATCATAGTTTTTGTTAAACTTTAAGTGAAAAAATGAGCAAAAACGTAATTTTTGTCGTAAAACTCGATATCCGACTAGAAAAAAATTGCGCGCTTCGGACCGGGCGGACCATTTTTTCGTGAGGCCCCGCTAAGGCCGGGCTTACGAAACGGTCAATTGCAGGGAGGGTGACGGGCCCGCCCTCGCACAAGCCTGCTTAGGGCTCAAAGTGCTTTTGAGCCCATTCCTTTTCATAAGGAGGCTTTTTTTGGTCAAGCTTTTAGGTCGCGGTTGAGAGTTTCCTAAAAATTGGTCAGAATATTTCTTGATGTATCAGATAAAGGTCCTGAAAATATCAAACTGAACATTTTCCTAGTTTTCGGAAAAGAACACCTCAAAGTCAGTGAAATCACTCAAAATTCGTTCAATGGGCTGTTTTTAGGCTTTCAAGTTTGTTTTTTTTTTTTTGAAAACTAAAAGTTATTCAGGTTGAGACTTTCAAGTTCTTCTTTTGGTTCAAGTATTCTGGCCGATTTTCAGAGGATTTCCGACCACAAAATAAAAAAGGACTCTCCTTTTTAGGAGTATTTTTTTGATGATTTTCGGATGCCATTTTTTTCTAGAATTTATGTAACTTGCAAGCCCTAGGCTGGCTTTGAGAAACATTTCTAGAAAATGTTTTTCCCCTGGAATCAGCAAGCCCTAAAGTAGACCAATTTTTAGACATCTAAAAAGTTTCTTGTCACGGAAAAAAAAGGCTTTTTACGAAATTTTCAAGAATTTCGACTGAAAAACACATGACTAAACACTTTCAGCTTGATGTCCCTCCTTCTTCAGATTCCTTTTGATCTTCTACCAACTTCTTTCCATCTATAACGATCCGTTTTCCCTCGTGCCACCAGACGACGTCGGCGTCTTGGACGTTGAGTTCTGTTTCCAGAGTCGCGGTCTCATTTTCGTTGACCTTATCCGACTTTATCGGCACGACGAACGTGTGACGGGGATCTAGGAATGAAAAATGCAAGTCCAAGAAACTTTAGGTTTTAAAAGGTAGGTAAGATGTCAGAGCGTCTTTAGATTCACTCTAGGGCTCACTTCAGGACTCAAATTCTCTCAACACTTCTAGCTTCCATGCAACGATTAGGGTTACTCAAGAAGAACTCTCTTGTGACAAAAGCAAATTTCAATAGCGCGCCTTTAGATTACTGTGAAATGGTTGAGAGTTATACCTGCAACGGCCGTCTCCATCTTCTTTTGTCCGCGGGACTTGTCTTCCATGGTGGGCGATGTAGGAGAGAGCGCTTGTTCAGATGCTACCGGAGCTAGCTCAATGATCAAGAATAACTTTCCTTAGGACGGAAATCGTCGCGTTTATTTTTCTTTCTCATCTCAGAAGTTCATCTCCAATCTTTTTTTTCACGTATAATATTATTAATTACTTTTTTTTTCGCCTCTTTAATTTTCTTCACTTTTTATCAAATTCAAACTTTTTTTTTCAAGAACATAAAAAAATGTTTTTGCTCAAAATCTTTATGGATTAAATTCCGTGTATTTTCTTCATTCCGTGTATTTTCTTCATTCTGTGTATTTTCTTCAATCGAAGTGGTATCTCTGTACCATAGGGGAGTTCTTACTCTAGTTATGGCTCAAAAACTGAAAAAATCGCTGTTTTTGAGGAAATTTCGATTTTTTTCTCCCCGAAGAAGTCGAGTTAGAAAAAAAGTTACAGCTGAAAAAATACTCAAAATAGTGTTTTCTTACATTTCCAAACGTTTTTGAATGAAAATTCTCAACAGGAAAAAAATTAATTTTTTTCAGCTTACTGTCTACAGTATCTTTTAAAAGGGGCGGAGCCACCTGGAACCTGGTGCTAAATAATCAGAAGCACGTGTGTGAGCCGTGATCACATTTTGAGGCAAATCTAAAAAACTTTTTTTTTATTTTGCTTCAGATTCATCGACTTTCTCAGAGAACGCGTGTTAAAACCATGTTGATTATATGCTGGTGTTGAAAATTAAACGAAAGGATGAACGAAAAAACTTCATGGTACAGCTCGGGAAGATCTGAAAATTTACAAGTTATATGCAAAGAAGACCCGTGGATTTATACCTTTTTTTTATAACGATTCATCGTCATCAGGAACTTCGGCAGCATCGGCAGTCCCGTCTCCATGCTCGATTTCCGACTGAAAACAAATTGACCATAAAAAAAGATTGAAAGAAAATGACGACTTTAAGAAAACTTTTTGAGTTGGAAGCCACAATACTCACTTCTTTAGGATATTCAAAAGTTAAGAATATTATGTGCCAAATTAAAACTTCCAAGGTTTCTCAAATCGTTCCAGCAATTCGAAACGGCACTTCTTTTCGAAATGTTTTTTCCTACTGACGCTAATAACTTTTTCCAAGGATTTTTCGCAGATTTTTGGTGCAAATCGAAAGCTGATTTTGATAAGTTTACCAATGACGAGTCGAAGTTCAGAATCGCCGGAATCACTGGAGTTGTCTGTGACTGGTCGATTGGCGTGGAAGCCATGAATAGAGAACCCGGTCCTAAAGATCTGAATTTTTTTATTTTTTTGAAAGACCTTCAAAAATCTTTTGAACTTTTAATAGAAAATTTTCGGTGGAAACAAAAGTTATTAGCTGAAGCTTTCTCTGAATGATTTTAAAAGTTTTCAGCAGTTTCTGAATAATGCATTTGTTTTGAATAAATATTGTAGTGAAGAGGTGGAGTAATTATAACTGAAAACTAAATAAAGAAAAGGAGAAAGTTATGAAATAAAAAGAGAATAATTTAACTTGCAAAGAAAAATGTCTTCAAAAAAGTTCATTCGAAAAAAAAAGAGTCCCTGTGAGCGGACGTCTCCTGTTGAGCTTGGCGCTCTTCCGGAGAAGCTGAAAAAATGATTTTCATTGATTTCTGCTTTTTTTTTTGTTGAACATAGGGAATCTTAAAGATGAACAACAAAAATCCAACAAGAAAAAATAATAATTTCTGTCAAAGAGTTATCTATGAGAACCTTGAAAATGTTATTGGGGTTTTATTTTTCGAGCGATGAGGATTCTGAAATAAAAATCTATACACTGTTTAGATTTGGCTTGTCAAGAAGAAGGTCGTTATTTGAAAACTCTCTTTAGATGGCTCGCTTTCTGATTGGTTTATCGCCCCAATAAAGTCGGTGCTTGAGCAACGACTTGCAAAAAAAAAATGAAATCGGTACTTTTTCACGCTTTGATTTTCCGTTGCTGAAACGATATTTCTCAAATCGCGTAAATTCTCAAATTACAAATCATTTATTCTTTTGGATGTTTCGAGTTCTGCTGCTAATTTTCTGTCTTTCACAGCTTCTTTTAGCTTATTCTGATTCGAACACCTACCTTCAATTCGTTGTACCACATGGACAGGTTCCGAACTGATTTCTGTGTAAATGAAGAGTTGATGAACTATTCAGAAATTTTGCTTCTTCCTTTCATTCGACAAGAGAAACTACGCCAGCATGGACATCGAAGTTCAGGTTTTCCTTATATTTCTGGGTTTTGTATCTTGAAAATATAAATTTGAGGTTAAAAACGGATTCGAGCAAGAAATCGACTTTTACGTCGTTGATCCGACCGGCGAGGAAATCTTCCGCGGCCCGCGTAGTAGCAAAATCCGACAAACGTATAGTCCATGTTTCTCGACTTGAAAGGCGAGGGAGGAGGGGGAAGGGGGCGGGACACGTAGCGTGTGCGTAAGCGGTTCTTGGCACGTGTTCAATTCAACCGCCATTGACTCTTTGAAAAAAACCCGTTTTTTTCGCTCTTTTTCATTCCTTTTTTTCAATTATTTATTGATTATGTTCATGTGTGCATCAAAAAATAGTAGAAAACATTGAAAAAGAGCGGTTGCCGAGCTTTTTAAATAGTCGGCGGCGCTTGAATTGAACTCGTGCCAAGAACCGCGTACGCACACGCTACGCGTCCCGCCCCTTGCTCCGCCTCCCTCGCCTTTCAAGTTGGGAAACATTGACTATATTTCTTTTCCTTTTGAAATACAGATAGGCAAATTCGGAAAAGTCGAAAAAGGCTCCATATAAATTTTCCTTTTATTATTCCTTTCTTAGGAAATTCGAAGTGGTCCGTATAGGAGGAAAAAACGGTAGGGGCCGAAAAATCGGTTCCTATAGAAATAAAATTTGGATGGTTTCTATAGGGGTTTAGGATCTGACCTTTTAGCCCCTAAAATTCAAATGTTCCCTATACCAGTTTGGGGTAAAAAAGCTCAAAAAGTGACCCCTATAGGGTCTGATCTTTTAGTCCTAAATCGATTAGCACGTCCCCTATAGAGGCCTCTGACTAAAATCTCTAGAGGGACCACTTCTGCAAGCTTTAGAAGCCCTTTCGGGGGTTGGTTAAGTAGTCCCTAGATGACCTTCCAAGGTTCTTTTTAGCAGTCGTTCCGACTTTGTTCGAGTAGAAAGAAAGTTTTAAGAGTTAACAAAGTTAAAAGAGCGATTTTTATGAACTTATCATCTACCAATATCTACAATAACTTCCAGAATTCCATACGGACAAGGAAAAGTAATGGTAAAAGGCGATTACCAACTGTGCGCCGACAATATTTTCAGCTACTATTCTAACAAGGAGGTGAGGGAATTATAAAAATTTAGTGTTATTTGAAGCTGATGTGGTGATTCAGTGTTAATTTAAGGCCGAAAAAAGTTACAATAAAAAACAGATTTTTTGCGCCTTTGTCCTAAAAGACGGAAAAAAGGTTTTGAAGCGAAGTTTAATCTAAATTGGTATACGGTATTCTTGACAGAAAAAAAAAACTTGACAATCTGGGGCCGAATGGAACATAGTTAAGTGGGAAAATATAGCATAAAAACTCATGCCAAAGCTTTTTCGTGGACTTTTACAATTAATTCGACAGTTTTCGCCTGTCTGCGTCTCTCTGTTCCCTCAGCGACGAGGTCAGAGAAACATGGAAATAGCACGTAAACATGAGAGAGGCAACGAGAGATAAGGAGGGCGCAGAGAAGTCGCGAAAAACGGACTAAATGACCAATTTTCAGGTCGTAGTAGACGTTCGCTTTTTGGATTCACACGGATCGATGGTCGTGGAGGATGATAATCCCGAAAACATGATCAAAAGAGAAATTGACGCCAGAAGAACCGTTGGTGTCATTCCGGTGCTTTGAATTTCGAAATTCAGTTGTTAATTTTTGTTTTTCAGCAACGGCTCAACTCTTTGTTCGTCAAGTTGAGCGAATCGTACGATTTGCTGCACAAACTCCGAGCAATTTACTTTTGGGTAATTGTTATAGTCTGTGTGCCACGACTTGGAAGTTCCCCAAACGACATTCCGCTGTGCCGCTGCGCGCCTTTGCAAACCTTGGTCGCGATTTAATTTAATTTTTCTTTTATTAGGTACTCTACTTACCTGTGCTCCCACAGCAATAAAAATCCATTCAACGTGTGACCTAGATTCAAAAACAGCTTCGCGAACGCACGCAGTGGAACAGAGGAATGTCGTTCGGTGAAATTTCAAGTCGTGACACACATACTATAAAAAGAATATTTTTTTGGTCAATTTTTTTGTCGAAAGCTTTGAATTTTTCATGAATTCTTTCGATTTCATCAATTTCCATGTTTTTTTGGTGTCTTTCAATTCAGAATAATGTTCTTTCAATTATTATCAACGCAATTGGAAAAGACTCAATAAAAAAGCCTTTTCGAGCAAAAAATCCAAGGAGCTTTAAAAATTCATACCGTTCTACAGTTTCTTCCTATTTTTTGAGAGCTTTTCGATCAAAAAAAATATGCTTTGAGGCTTTAAAAAATCACAACTTTCTCCAAATTCGATCAACTCCAATTTTTCGGGTTTATCATCATTATAAGAAAACGAAAATCTTCATAAAAGCGCAAAAAAAAAAAGCATCTTACACAATTTCCCATTTCGCAGCCTTTTTGCACCATTTCATTGACCTCTGTACACCAATTTTGCTGCCTCCCCCTTTTCCACCATTCTTGCAACCTAGAAAAAATGGGTGGCTTGATAAAGGGACTCTTTTTTTGGCTTTTCCGCGGCCTTTTTTGAGCCTCTCCCTCTTAGTGGTCATTTCGACTTTGCTGTAGAAAGAAAGTTCAAAATTTGAAACTTTTTTGGATTGACATATTTTAAAACTTGGAAAATTGTTTTCTTCGCAGAGCCGAGAACAAGCCGAGGAAAACTTTGAGCAGATCAACTTTTGGGGTGTCATCAACACTTTCGTCATGATTTTCGCCGCGCTTGCACAGGTGAAATTGAGCCACCGTAATATTTGAATAATTATCATCTACATTTTAGGTCTACCTGGTCCGCTCGCTTCTCACCTACGAGTCCAAAATTGGCCGATACCTTCGCTCGCCCAGATTCTAGTCCTTTTTTTCTCCATTATTCTATAAAAATAAATCAGGAAAAAAAATATAATCTTTATTCGAAACTAGAAAAAAATCCTGAGGACAGCACCATCAAAATTTCAAAAAAATATATATAAATCACCCGTTTGAAATCACAAATATGAACTGAATAACTGAAAAAAGTCTGAAAGAACTGGGCTTTTCTGGGAAAAAGTATCCTAAAATGTGGTTAAAAAGAGCGTTTCAAGTTTGGAACTGAGGAGAATAGGGCGACGGTTGATCCGAATAGGAAGATGGTGAAAATTAAGAGGCAAATCCGGTCGACCACCTGGAAAATGAAACTAGTTTTGGTTGGATTTCTGGTTGACCTCACCATTGCCGAGTATTTCCAATCATCTTCGATTTTTTTCGCTCTCTCTTTTTCTCCAATGCTTTTGTTGATGTCCTGGAAGAGAAAAAATTTTCAAAAATTGGCGGCCGCAAGTGGAATGGTTCAAAGCGTCGCGGGCGCGTGGCGTTTTAAAAATCTTAGTTCCGACCACAGAAGAAGAGGAAAAGCCAGTTGAAAATGAAAACTTGAAAACAATTCGGGATTTAAAAAAAAAATCTTAGAGATGGTCATAGAGAACACGAAAAAACTTGAAAAAAGGGTTCTTAGGAACTCCAGAGGGATCCCTATAGGGACCCCTTGAAAGGTACTCTCTAGGGACCTCTTCACTGACCCCTATGAAGGCCACTAAAGCTTGCAGAACTTGTTCCCATAGGGGTTCAAATTAGTGGTCCTTATAGGGGACCTGCTAGTCGATTATTGTTATGAACTATACGCGAAGAAGCATTTCCATGGGAAAAACTGAAGAAGAGTTTTTGAATGAAATTGAGAGACCCTATAAGGGTCACTAAAGCTTTAGAAATTAAGAGGTTAGAACCTAAACTCTATAGGGACAGCCTTAAATTTACCCCTATAAGGGCCTTTTCGACCCCTAACCTCCATAGGGAGCGCTCTGAAATTCCTAAGTTTGAAACCTTTTTTTTTGCATTTTTATTCGAAAAATGACCTTTTAAACGCGACTCATTGAGTCATATGAAAAGAGAAAATAAAAGAAGGAGAAATTTTAAAAAAAACCAATAAATGGGAGTGAATTTGCTGGAGAACGAGTAGCTGAGCGATGTGACCAACGGGGACCTGAAAGTTGGTTTCTTTTTTTTGCGATTCGTTAAAACAGGGATAAGTGAGATACGTAGATGATGAACTTTCTAAAACCGCTGCTTTTTTTTTTCGAAGTTTTTTGGAAGGAGTTAATAATTTTTTTATGGTTGACAAATGAAAAAAAAAATCATTTTTTGGTTCAATCTTCCCTTTTTTCGTATTGTTTCAGTTTGAAACCTTTTTTGTGGGATTAATCATTTTCTCAACGTGTTTACAGATGTGAGCAGAATTATCGAGGAGTTTTGATGAAACCTTGTTGGAAACGATGGCGTTGGGTCTGGAAGGAGCGTTCCACCAAAGATGACCTGGCGACGTCGTTCGAGTTGGACCGTCATGAGCTTCGTCGACTATCGTCACCCTTCGCTCCATTCTTGAAGTTCTCAAGGTTTTCGGGGGAAAAGTTTGGAAGTAATAACTGTGGAAAAGATTATTGACGCCTGACCTGCCTTCCTTCCAATACAGAATGAATCGTTTCGAAATATTTTTATTGGACAAAAAATCTTGATTTTTCTATCGCTGTACCTTTTTTTCACTTTCTGTTCGGATTCTACGTTCGGATCTTCGAAAGCTAGTGATCACTGGTAAACCTGAGGGCACTCACCAGGTGATAGAAGAAAAAAAAACGCTCGCCCTCTCATTTTCAAACGCTCTCTAACTTTCGAAGATTAGACTCTCTTTTCCTAATAAACGACACATTTTCACGATATTTATCGAAAAAGGTTCTATTACAGAGGAAAACGATAGAAACCTAGGTGTTGGTCGCGGCGTCTCGACACTGATATGAGCCAGAATTTCGGCGATCCTCTGCTGTTCGGTCCGATTTTCTGACTCCTCGGCTTCCTCCTCAGAATCTTCATCTCTTCTCATCGAACCGCCGCGCGCGATAAATCCAGGGCGCTTCATTAATAGAAGCCAGGGCAACCATTCCAGCATCACCAGTCGGAACTGGAAAGTTTTATCAATCACCCTTTTTTAGTTTTAGGACCGTTTTAATACTTAAAAAGCGTCGGATCGAATCTAGCTTTGAAATTGTAAGAAACCCCCCTTAGTTAAGCAGAATAAGCCTTCAAGGCTCACGAAATTGGAATAAAGTCTTACGGTATTGCTCATGTGGTGCGATTTTCCGTTGCGGTGATGGAAGTTCAGGGCGAGGGTCGTCGCCGTAACGCAACACGCGCATGTGAACATGCAAACGGCGAAAAAGGCACCTAGAATGAAAAATTCGTTTTAAGCTTGAAAATATATGGCGGCATTTGGAATGGTTCTACGCGTCGCGGTTCACACAGGTTCCAAGGAACGGTTTTTTTTGTGGGAAACATCGCATAAGAATGACAAAAATGACTCTTTCTCCCTTTTCGATTTAACGCGTCGCGGTTGCGCTGCGGTATTTATAATCTTGAGATCTCGGGCAAAGTCGAAATGATGGATAATGGCCGCTAAAAGAGAGGGGCTCAGAAAAGGCCGCAGAAAGGCAGCAAAAAGAGGCCTTTTATCAGACCCTACATTTTTTTTTTTGGTTTTCAAAGGGTCAAAAAATAATGGAAAATGGCAGCAAAAATGGTGCAGGAGATTTTCAACTTTTCAAACTCACTGAGAAAAGGAACGGCTTCCGAAGTCGGTGGTGATAGTTCGGTCACATAATTTTGAAATATACAAATTGAGAGCATGATCGTAATTTCTAAAAATTCGAAAACACTTCAAAAATGGTAGATTCACTCACGTAGCGACATTTTCTCGCCGGCGTCTGGTGGAAGTGTAAAGCCGACCAAAGTTAGCATCGTGATCAACATACAAGGTAGAATCAAGTTGAAAGCTGAGTATTTTATATAAATTTTTTTGTAGTTTTTAGCTTACCGTAGTACAAAACTCTCCGACGGATTATAAAGGTGAAGACGAGGTCGTAGTACGGTTCTGGACAGCATTGGTAGTACTGGATGTTCCTTTTCACTGAGGTTCCTTCAAAAATAAGTCAATTAGTAATTTTCTTTTTGCTTCACGTAAAAATGGCTCTCCTTCTCAAGACCTTTAATAAGCTTGCCTATGCTCCTTTAAAAACCCTAAAAATGAATCTTCCCCTCAAGTCTGGCTATGTTCCTTGATAGTACAGGATGTTCATTTTTACAGGTTCCAAAAACAAGCCAATTTTTGATTGAAATTCAGATTTTGCTAATAATGGCTCTGCGTGGAAATTAAGTAAGAAAAGCTCTTCCTCTCAAGACCTTTTATAAGTTTGCCTATGCTCCTTTAAAAGCCTTAAAATCGCATCTTTCCCTCAAGATCTTTTTCGAGTCTGGCTAGGCTCCTTGGTAGTACAGGAAGTTTGTTTTCACTGAGGTTCCTTCAAAAATAAACCAACTTTTGTTTGAAATTTAGATTTTGCAAATGGCTATACGTGGAAACTTAGTAAGAATGGATCTTCCTTTCAAGACCTTTCATAAATTCGCCTATGCTCCTTTAAAACCCCCCAGGATTCACCTTCCAGTGTCCACTCTCCATTCTGCATGTAGTTGGAGACGTCGAAGCCATTCTCATCGATTTCCAGGTTCAATTTGGAGCCGTCAAAGGTCCATGAACCAAACTACAAAAAACAATGTACCTTTTTATGGGTTTATTTTTAAATTTGAGTTCATAATCATTTTAAAATAAAAACGTAGCTATTTTTGGCTAAAAATAGAGATAAAGACTTGAGAATGTAGTTTTACTCGAAAACAAACCTTCATGAAGCATTCCTGGACATCAAAGGGGAACCAGACAACCTGAATCTTGCACGAAAGGCGGAAAAGTCCTGAAAAAAACCCCTCGATAATGCGATAAATTCAGAAATAATGAAAATTAGAATGAAGGCCTTGTTTAAAAGCTTTAAAGATTTTCAAACTGAAAAATTCCCAAAATTCGTGGGCGAAACTCTAAAGAACTTTCGAAGAACTTGAAAATAAAAACAAAAGGTTTCAAAATATTCCAAACAAGTTTTAAAAAAAACTTCTTTTGATTCGCTTTTTTAATTTTCGAGAAGGAGGGCCTTTTTAGGTTATTGATCCTTATGCCGTGTTCAATTTAATTCCGCGAAATGCAAAATACCCGTTAGAGAAAGGAAAAGATCACTAAATTTTGGAGAGTCAGGGATCATTTTGCATTTCGCGGAAATTACTTTGAACACGGCATTAAATTAGTGAAAATTTCGCAGCCTCCAGTATTTGTACAGCTCTTTCCACGTAAATTGACGAGAGATTCATCATTGGGGCGCTCTTTTTCACGCCTATTTGATTAATTTTCTCCCAATCATAAATATGAAAGAATTAATAGATAGAAAGCAGAAATTTAGAGAAAAAAAACACTTATATGGCGGACTTTTCAATTAAGTTTGAAAAAAACATCAAAAATCTAGAAAAATAATGTGAATCAGATTAGTTATATCATAAAAACTTCAAACTGCATCAGCAAATTCCATTTGGCTCTAAGTTACGCGAAATATGTTTCTACAAGAGGACAAAAAAAAAATGAAAAGCGCAGAAAAAAACTAGAGATTCCACGAAATAAAAACTTTTAACTTTATAAAGTTTTTAGTGTCTCCACTAGCTCTACCTCTCACGTCATATGGCCCAGAATTTTTTCAAAATAAAAATGTTATTCTCTGCAAAAAATAAAACGTGAACTTCATCCCAAGGAGTCATTTTCCTGTTATCGAAAAAATTAACACGTACGAAAAACCACGTGGCAACGTGTCCTTTCTACTTTTTGGACCTGGATTCAATCATCATTTCTGCTTCCTTCACGACTCGTCTCGCTTCTTCAACGTCAAGATAAGTTTTTAGCCTCCAAAAAACTTCTAATTCCCAAAATAAGTTTCTGAGTTGTAAGCGCTAGTAGATTAGGCCCGCGGGACTCCCGGAGTGCCGATCCTTTTCGCTTGCGAATTGGATACGCAAAGTCACGCTGAAGCCCATTCCTGTGGCGGAAGCATAAACTGTTGGCAGCGCGATACTGACAAAGCGATGATGGGACCCCCGCGGAAAATGCCGTCACGGCCTTCGGCGTCTAGGATTAGTTATGACAAGGCCGAGCGGAGCTCTAGCGCACCGCCTAGTTAGTTCTTCTAACTTCATAAAGCTTCCCTAACATACTTATGACTTTACATAGTTAATCAGTCGGATCATTTTGATTCAAATAATACAATTGACTTGATTTTTCCAATGTTGAAACTGTTGCAGGAAGCTTTCAAAGAACTCGCTCTTTTCAGTCTATGGAAATTCGAAAACAACTTCAAGCAGTGCAGTTTGGTATCTGAACAAATCCTTTTTAATTACTTTTCCTTCAGAAAGAACTTCTGGAGAATGAAAACAAAAACGCGTCTTGGAGAAATGAACTATCGACTACTACTGGAACAATTGATGTGAGGTTTTGAAGGCTTTTAATTCGAAAAGTTTTATAATAAGAGAAAAGAAGGTTTGACCATATTAACACTGAATTGAAGCCAGAAAAACCTTGATCCGATATCATAGGCAAAGACGGAAAGGGTGGAAAAAGGATCCATAGAAATGTTCCTTTTAGGGTGACAAAGGCTACTTTTTGCTGCCTCTCCCTTTTTTCACCATTTCTTGAACCTTTAGATTTCTAGAAAAAATGGAAGCCTCAATGAAGGGTTTTGGTGGGCTAAAAAGCTTCAACAGAGGGTGTAAAAAGGGTGCTGAAAGTCTCGTTCATTGATGACTTTTGATTTTGTTACTGTAGCACATTTGTGTTTATACACAGTCACTGGTATAGATTATTCTCAATTTAAATATTTTTGTGTTTCCCTAAAAAGGTCCAAAAAGGGTGGATGAAGGCCGATGAAAGGACGGAAAAAAGGCAGCAAAAAGGATACCGTTGCTACCCTTTTAGGAACAATTAATGGAAGCTTTTGGATTTATAACGGACGCTCAAAGGGCCCGCAAAGGGTCCTCTCGCCTATAAAGATATATAAAAATTTAAAAAAAATGTAGTTGTTTTAATTTAGTGTGTTCAAATTTGAATCACGATGACGATCGCGATGATTCAAGGGCGCAGACACTCTGGTTGCGGAAAAAAAATGATGTTTCTTTACGAGCAGCTCTTTTTAATTCAATTTTTGTATATATATACTCTTTTTCCGCATTCGAAAGTATTTCATCTTTGAAACTACAGACGATCGCGCTGACAACAAATCGTCACGACGACTTTTTCAAACTCGATCCATGGCGGACGGAGGTCGACTGCGAGGCCGGCTAACAATACCAGGTACCAACCCGATGCTCTTAAAAGCAGCTGAGGGTTTTTTTTTGTTCTGTGTTGCAAAGGATGAACAGTAAATTTTCAATGGTTGAAATCGCTTCTCACTGTCTGATAGCTATTTTGAATCTCACGAAAAGAAAGACTCGGACACTGGTAACGCAAAACGGACGTGTCGGGGCATTTCTAGTGACCCCTTTTGTAGCGTGAACATTCTTAAGTGTCCTCTAGAATTACTCATAAACGTCCGGAGCACCCGTTTGGCGTTACTAATGTACCACGGCGTTCCCAAACGGGGTGAGGAGACGTCAAAAAGATTTTGGCGTGGAATTTCGAATCTCAAGAACGCAGCCAAAGACGATTGAACAAACGAGTTATTAACTTTGAATATTCAGTGTTATTGTGACGTAATTTTATCCGGAGCGCGCACTTACTTTTTTTTTTGTAAATTCAGAAACTTTGGTTCAGAACCCCAGTAGGAATGCCGTGGTACGAGAAGATGGAAGAAAAAAAAAAGTGAATCAAAGGGGTGTGAAAAAGCGATCCACAGTGATAAATCTCTTGTCAATCCACGTGAGGCAACTCTGAACTGGAGCGCCTAAAGGCGCGCCCGAGTTTTTCTCTGCCGGAGGCTATTTCTTCCCTCTCTGACTGCGAGAAAACGACAAAATAACATGCGGCAGAAAAACATTCGGGCGCGCCTCCAGGCGCTTCAAGTCGGAGAAACTGTACAAATACTGGAGGCTAAATTTCACAAACTCTCCTTTGGAAAAAAAAACTAGAGGCCTATCTAAACTCTTTTTGAACCTTTTTCATCATTAAATATAAATAAAGAATTGGAAAAAATCAAATTTTTCAAAAAATTAACCTGGTGGAATCCAATTAACTAATCCATTCGGATAAACCAATAAATGGGACGGATAACTACTGTCAAACTGCGGATCGGCACTATTGTACATCAGAACGTCCGGCGACCATAATTGGCCTTTTCTGAACATAATTTTCCGTTTTTAAGAAAAAAGAATTTTGCGAAACCTGAAGCGAAGATCAGAAACGCCGCCATATTCTTCAGGGTCCCAATTGAGAGAATAGTCAATCCAGGAAAACTTCAACCAAGCGTTTACATCAACCACTTGGTTTTTTTCATCCTAAAAAATTCATCTCACTAGGGAACGTTTTTTACCCCCCGGTTGAACTTTTGCTGAAACTTTGCCGAACACTAAGAATAACTGCCGAGATAAACGCGAGACACTGGCGGTACATTGACGAGCTCGCAAACATCTCGCATTTTTCTGGGCGCCAGCTCGCACTTTTCTAGGCGCGAGCTCGCATTTCTTTCGCTATTTGAAAATTTCCGAAATGCAAGATAAATGCGAGATGGCGCCGAGAAAAATGCGAGGTCGCGCCGAGAGAAATGCGGGATCGCGCCTAGAAAAAAGCGACATTTTTGCGAGTTAGTCAATGTACCGCCACCGAGCTCGCGTTTATCTCGTCAGTTATTCTTAGTGGAAGTGTACTTTAGGACCCCCTGATTCCAGAACAGGAAGAAAATTTCTCGCAATAGATCTCGTTTTCGAGTTAGGACACTTCAAAAGCCCGAAATAGCTCTTTTTTGGCCTAATTTGCGTATTTTGCACACTTTGAAGCTCCATAACTCGGAAACAAGATCTATTGCGAGAAATTTTCTTTTTGATCTGCAATCAGGGGGTCCTAAAGTACACTTCAGCAAAGTTTCAGCAAAAGTTCAACCGGGGGGTAAAAAACGTTCCCTGGTCAGAGAAAGATGATTTGAATATTAAACAAAAAATTATAAGAAGATTAAAAAACGGTTATTTTTTCAATGTTTCAGTGGAGCGCGTCTGACGCATTACGGATTATGGAAATTTATATACCAACACGAAAAATAATCTCGGACCTTCGTAACAAAAACCGGACGCGCTTTGGACGTTTCTAAAAAATTCTAGAGAGCTCTTAAGAGTTATGTCGCTACTAAAATGGCCACTTGAAACTCCTGGACGCGTCCGATTCGCGTTACTAAGGTCCGGAAAAAAAAAAATTAAATTTCCAAGCTAGATCTAGGTAGATGTGAAAGAACTGTTTCAAAACAAAAAAAAACTCACGACATCAACAATTTGCTGTAGAACGACGCCCATACGAACTAAAACTGGCTCGGAACTGTTGGCCACTGGTCTTTCCAGCGGTTCGTAGTCGGCCAGGATTTTATCGTATAAATCACCTTCAATTTCCGATTGATAAGAAAAAAGATTGAATGAAACCTTCAGCGAGACCGTAGACTTGAAAAGTTTGAAAAATGCCGAAAATATTGGCGATGAGAAGCCAGAGCCTCAGCCGCATCGAACACGATACATCGGCCTCCTCTTCTCATACGCTGCTTTTTCCAAAGGTCAAAACTATCTCGGCTTCTGGAACTCATATTTGCAAAAAATGTGTAGTTTATTGGCTCACAAGGCAAATTCGAAAGACGGAAAAATGTATAGGAGCACGGAATTAAGCCTCACGAGGGACTCATTTCAATTATCGGCTCGGAATTTTTTTCGAAAATTCGTTTTTGAAAAAAATTGAGATTTCCCGCAACTAATTGACATAAAGACTTCAAAAATCCATGAATCAAAACACAAAAAGTCAATTTTTTTAAAATTTTTTTCGAAAAATCCGACTGGGCTTGTATGAGCAGCTGTGAAGTCCTAAAAAAACGACATGATGGTTTTTGAAGTTTGATATACCTAAATGAGATCATAGTTCATTTGAAGAAACTTTCTGGGATTTTAAAAGCTCAAAATCAAAGATATTACTAAGAAGGCTCTACCTCTCTGAAAACTCCCTCAAGCTGCTGAGAATCGAGAGCAAGTAACCTACAGGATCAAGCAAAGAACGATAAAATCGATTGACTGGCGCGGGGCCAAAGCGATCTCGGGCGGAGGGGAAAGCCGGAAAGTCTGTGGTGGCCGTTCGGAGGTGAGCCGAAGAATCCCGAGTGCGCCGTCGTGTTTGCCGACGACGGCGGTAGCAGCAGACTCGAGTGGCCGACGGCCTTTTCAAAACTGATTGGATGGTTTCCTCGGAAGTTTATCAGTTCGAGGGGAGATTTCGGCTTCGAAAGAAATTGATAGAATCGTTGATTACCCAAAAATAGAAAACATTTCAAACTTGTTTTTCATAAGTCGACATAAGTTGTTCTTTATTCGACACCTTCTATGAAAGTCTCATATAAAGTTACGGCCCTTTGTTGACACTGAACTGATATCATTTCATTCATTCTTACAAAAAGTATGTTGATTTTTTTCTTATTTTCAATCAGTAAATCCTGTCGAAAGAACAAAATAGCGATTAATAATTTTTTTGCTCGAAATTGAAAGATATAGCGCATCTCCGATCTGAACCTTCTGATGGAGTAATTTTTTTGTATCACCTCAGAACTCTTCATATTGCCGCTAAAAGCAATTTCGCAGCAAATCGTTTAAAGAAAAAAGACATTCAGTTTCCCATCATGCAATTTTATGATTGAATATAAATGTATTCCTGGGATCGTAAATTTGAAAACTCCTATAAATGGGCCTCTTGGATTCTGTAAAAACAAATTTCATTCCCTTTCTTTTTCATTGTGTAAATTTTTCCTTTAGAGTATTCTTCCCATTTGTTAAGTATAAAAATACTTTTAAGGTCTTTTTTTGATAAAGGTTTTCATTCATAATCAGAGTGCTTGACTCGTTCAGGAAACCGAAAACAAATTTCATAAACTTGAAATTTTTCAGGCTAATCATTGAGAAAATCATTGCGAAAGTTGATTTAAATGAAATATTGCGATAATATATCCTTTAGCGTATATAAAAACTTTAATCCTCGAAACCCGGAGGAGCAATTTTCCTACGCGCAAGGTGTGCAAGATATTGCCGGGGTTAGCGCATGACGAGAAGAAGAGGCGGAGCCTAGATCCGGGCAACGCATTTCTCGAATTTCGTTTTCAAGTTTTCGATGTCAACTCGTTGCCTTTGCTTATATTTCCGTTATGAATGTTTTCTTTTCTCGCAGAAGATTATTTTTGTCTCTGTCCTGCCGTGGGTAGCCATTATGAAACCTTCGAAAAACCCAGGGACTAATTAAAGATCATCATTTTCAAGTTTAGTTGCCCAAAAACGTATTTTCTACGCTAAGAGATTTCATTTCAACTGTACGCACAAAGACTAGCTAGGCGAGTGCATTTTTTGCAAGGAGCTGAAAATATTCACTTTTTTATCAGTATTACCACGTCCGCTGTGTTAATTTCATCAGTGTTTGTGATAAGGAGCCAAATATATGGGACGATTTTGAGTTCTTCGAGGGAAATAGTCTAGAAAAAACCTTCATATTATAAAATTTACCCTTGGAGTGATCAATGTATTGGTCAGGGTCAACTTTTGAACTTCTCCCAGTCTTTTTCCTTCACCTCTCCTAACCGGTTAAGAATTTTTCGCGAGAACGGAGTGCGATAAAAAAATGGGAAGGCGAGAAAAGATAAAACATTCTTTTTGGGGAAGACCCCAAAGGAATGGTCGAACCAGTCGCCTTTCTGATCGCACGATCGCGTTTTTTCTGTTTCTTTTATAGAGACATTTTTAGTTTCGTCGCATTTTTTTTTACACAATTTAGTGCGTTTCCTTTTTTTTTTTAGAAGTTTTACTTTTTTTCGAGACATGCTCTATTCAAAAAGCCATTAGATTTTTTTTTTCTGTTTTTTTTTTATCTTCTCACATTCAGCCAAATTTTTTTGTAATGAATTTTCCGATTTATTTGTTAAGAAAAAAGATATTCCATTCCTTCGAACATAATAAAAAGTCCTTAAAAATCCTTTCTTTTTTTCGCTCGAAGTTTATCTTTTTAATGATAGGTTTAGAAACCTTGTAATTACAGTTTATTGAAGTTTCATTTCAAAATTTGTATTGAAAAAAATGTAGCTTAATTTTTTTCAATTTTTTTAAAATTTCTTCAAAATTTCTTCAGTATGAAAAAAAATTTACTGGTTTTTTTGACACCCATTTTTTTCTTCTCGAATGAAAGTATCAATTTTTTTAAGTTCTGAAACTTTTTCGACCGGATCTGGTTTTTTTGAACCAAAAATGACTGAAACCCGTTTTTCTAGTCGTTTATTTGTCATTTTTTTCAAGTATTAATTTCGTCCAAATTCAATTTTTCTAAAAAAATTATCGTTGTAGTTTTTCCTGATCTTTGAGTTCCGAAATTTTTCTGATCGAATAAATTTGTTACTCAATGGAAATCCAATCTTGTTTCAAATCTGATTCTGATTGTTTTCCCAAGAATCCATAATCTTGTTTGTTTCATTTCATTTCGTGCTCTAAGGAACCACCGAACACAAAAACATTTTTCTGATGCATTTCGGATTCAATTTTTCTCAAATTTCAGTTTTGATATTTGTTTCAACACGGAAAAAGAAGGTGAAAGAATTTGGGGAAAAAATGACGTCAAATGTGGCCAGGAAGTTCCTCACTGACCGCGTGGCTCTCGTTACCGCGTCCACGAAGGTGATTTCCCGGGACTTATTGGTTCTAATTGATTGATTCGAAACGAAGATAATGAATTGTAAAAGGGATTTATGGGTGAACGAGAAATAATTGAAAAATTGAAAGTGAAAAATGCACGATTCTACTGAGCTTCTTGTTTCTATTCTAAATTGGTTAATTGAAAGCTCCTTTCCTGGGAAATTATATCATTTTTCTAGAACTAATTTGAGCTGATGTCATCAAAGTAAAAAGTGAAAAATCAAGAATTTAATTCATTTGCTTGAAAAAAAATAATGTTCTTAAGAAAGTAATAAGCTTCAAGTGCCCTAAAGCTGTCACTAAACTCGGTTATTTTTGAACGCGCCGTTAGATTTTTATGGTTTTGGCTTTTCTTTCTTTTCAAAACTTTCAATTTTTCGTTGAGTTCTATTTTTAGTTTATCGAAACAACGATTGTAAACGTTTTTTAACACTTTTTTCATGTAAATTCTGCTTTTTGAGCGTGAGAATGGTTTATAGTGTTTTAAAAATTTTATTCCTGAGAAAAAAATCGTTTTTTTTTGTCCGATGACATTTTAGAATGGTGTTTTATCGGCCCATCAAGAGAGATATTTGAGAAAAAAAGCTCGAAATTCACAATTCCTAAAGGGGAAACGTAGAATAATTGATGCAATCCTCTTATTGAGATGAGAAAAAAATGGGTTGGCTGATGTTCGAACCTTCCAATAAAATTACTGGAAATATTACAAAATTTAAATTTTTTTATTGAAAAAGAGGATGTCATCCATGAACTTTTTATACAAGAATAAGTTGAAAAACCTCAAATTCTACAAAAAAAAAGTTAAGAAAAGTTCTCAAAGACTAGTTTTCTATGAAATTGCTTCAAATTGAGCCAATTAACACTTGTTTTCTTCACCTTGAAACACGCGTTGGTTGATTTTTTTGAGTATCGAAATAATATACAATGAGAAAAAAATGATGTAAATGATTTATTTGGAAAAAAAATGTTAAAATTTCTTTTTAAATGTATTATTTTTCAGGGAATCGGCTTCGCGATCGCCAAGCAATTAGGGCGCCGCCGGAGCTTCCGTCGTAGTTTGCAGTCGAAAGCCGAAAAAAATGTCGAGGTGCTGAAAATTGACGAAAAACATCAAAAAAAGCCCAGAAAAAGATCTTTCAAGGATTTTTTTGTAATATCAAAAGTGAAGATCAGCAAGTTTTTCAATGATGACTTTTCCATATTTTACAAGGCAACTTTCCGAAAAATCGTTTTTTTTTTGTTCTCTTACTGTCTTTCTATGTTTTCCCTTATGAATTTACTGTTTCTTTTCTACAGTAAGCTTTTTATATTGGTTCAAGGACATTCAAAACGTGAAATTTATGAAGATAATCCGAAAAAAGCATTGTCGGAAAGCTCTAAAGCGATATGAAAAAAAAGTTGAAATCTCAAATCAAATTATTAAAAAAATTTCGACATTATTCGCCTTTTAAGAGTTTAAAGAAATTATATCGCTATATTTTCATGATTTTTTTCTTGTTCAGGAGGCCGTCGCCGCCCTTCGGCTTGAAAATATCGATGCCGCCGGAATTTCAGCCCATGTCGGAATCAAAGAGGACCGGAAGAAGCTGATTGATTTTACCTTGGAAAGGTAGATTTTATATGAAAAAATGAGGAATTTCTCTTATTTATAAGGATTTCTTAGTATTTTGATCATTTTCAAAGAAAAACTTTGCTTGCTTTTGAATAATATAACCGCATTGTCAACTTGCTATCATTGAAAAAAATATTTTTTTAATCGAAAATATCAATTTATTTAGATTATAATTGAACTGATTTTTGAGCTCCTACCTTTGGTCATGAAATTCTCAAACTTTTTTTGATAACTTATCAGCTGAGAAATTTATTATTTTTTTGCCTGAAATGATATTGATGTGAAAATTTATCATGATTTTTTTGGTTCTTATGTCAGTTTCATAAAGGCAAAATCATAAGGAAGTTGAAGTATTTTTTTCTAAAGAAAACAATTTTTCTACTCAGAAATATTTTCTACCAGTATTTTTTTCCAAAAGTTTCAAATTTTTGAAGCCCCTTTCCATTCAAAAATGAATTTTTCTAGGATTTTACAAAAAAATTTTTTTAAATTAGTATATTGATCAAACAAAAAAATAAAAGGTTGTGATGAGGATCCTTCACTTTAATCTCGAAACATTTTTTTCTGAGCTATTTTTTTCGTTCAAATCAGGATTTTTCTGACTTTTTTTCGAATTTTAATATTTTTCTTGAAAGGACCTTTTTTTACGATTTCCAAGGAAGTTTGAATTAAATCGCTATAAATTTTTGTCTTTTTTTGTTGAATTTGCAATACTAAAATGTTGTAAATGATGTTTTACAATATGAATCTTGGATTTGAACGTCAAAAATTTTTGGTAATCATGTTAAAGTGTCTCATTTGAAGTTTAAATTAATATATGTATTTTTGTTGAATTTTTTTCTGTTCAGATACAACAAACTGGACATTCTGGTCTCAAACGCGGCGGCCAACCCGCACTATGGCGATATGTTATCCATCAGTGATAAGCAATGGGACAAGATGCTCAATGTTAATGTTCGTTTGAAAAAAAAATGAAGAAAAATAAATAAAATTCAGGTGAAATCCGCCTTTGAACTGACGAAAGAAGCCGTTCCGCACCTCGAAGCCACCGGCCGCGGTTGTATCGTCTTCGTGTCTTCTGTTGCCGGTGAGTATAACCAAGAAAAAAAGAGATTCTAATTACATGATATTATTGTACCTTTTTGAGTAGAACTCCCGGCATGTTTCTTTCATTAAAGAAGGGAAAAACTAAAAAATATCGCATAAAATCATGCTTTTCGGATATTTTGTTGTAATTTTAGATTCCAAAAGAATTTTAATACATTTCTACCTATTTTAAATAATACATTTCCCAATTCTTGAAAAATCTTAGGAATTTTTTTGAAATATTTAAATATAATCCATTGATTATTGAAAATTTGCCGTTACAAAAATATTTTTGCTGGAGCGAAATGTTTCACATAAACTTGTGAATAATTTTGTAGTATTTTTTTGGAATTGAACGAAATTTTTCATGTGACTTTACAGCATGCGAAGTGAATTTTTTAATTTATGAATCTCGGAAAAAATTAGTAAAATGAAACAGAAAAAGTGATATGAAGTTATTTGATAGCTTTTTTCAAACCTCGATTGTTTTTTTTTTCCGAACTTTCAAAATTTTGAGAGAATTTGTGCATTTTTAATTGAAGTATTGAAATATCAATTTCCGCGAGTTTTTCTTTCAAGTACTTTTTTTTTTCTCAGGATATGCACCAATGGACGGTATTGGAGCGTATTCGGTCATGAAGACCGCTTTGACTGGAATGAGCCGTTCGCTTTCGATCGATTTGGCCCGGAGGAACATTCGAGTGAATTCCATCGCTCCTGGTTGGTTTTTTAGGGAAGAAAATGTCTGAAATTCTTAAAAAATGTCGAAAAATTAGTTTTCTAAGCATTTCAAATGGCTTGAAAGAACTTCCAAAAGTCTTTTTTTATTTTCTAAATTTCAGGTTTCACAACCTTTTTGAGCCTTTTTGTTTGTATTTGCTTTTTGAACAGAGAAATTTGAAAAGAAAATAGGTTTTCAAAGGGTTTTTTTGAGGGTTTTGAAGCGTGTGAATTGAGGAATCGGGATTTTTTTCAAGAAGAGAAATATAATTTGGGCGGACTTTTTGATTTTTTTGAACCTTTTAAAGCAAAAAATGAGGTTTCTCTGATGTTTTTCTTTGTAAATTTTTTTCTGGAAGCCTTTACGATCATTTTGGATGTTCAAAAGAAGCCGTGTGATTGAGAAGAAAGCCATTTTTTTCTGGTTTAAAAAGAAAAAAATATAGCCTAAATGTTACTTTGAGGCTTTTTGAGCTGTTAATTCTGATAGAGAGAAGCCAAAAGGCTGTTGGAATTGGTTACCAGAAAAAAAGATTTTTTTCAGTCTTCTGACGATTTCGAGGCTCTCCAAAAATTAATTTGAATTTTTTCATGCTTAAAATATAACAAGTATTATTTATGAAAGATTCTTCGTGATCCAGAATGATTGCAAAAAAAAAAAAGATAAAAATTCACTTTTCGGAAAATCATGTCCCAATCGAAAATGGAAGTGCTCTTTCCTCCACTTTTTAAGATTTTTAATCTTCCTGGGCTTTTTTTGATTGATGCCTTCGGAAAATTGAACCCTTTCAGAAAAAAAAAGTTGTGCTTCGAATGTTTTCGAGGCTGAATTGTTTCCGTTTCCACTTCTGTTTTCGTCAGAAAATTGCTCTTTCGATATATTATGGGCTTTTTGAGAAGTGGACAAAAAGAAAAAGAACAAGAGAATAAAAAAATTGACAAAAGATAGAAAAAATTGATGTGTGCTTTTTGAAGCTTTTTCGGGGAATTTACTGGCGTTTCATTTGAAAATTCTTCAATTATTTGCTAAAAATCCGCTTTTTTTGAGAAAAATACCCATCATGTACACCAAGTCCCATTTGAAAAAAAGGAACCGACGCAAAAATTATTCTTAAAAAAATCTGGATTTTTTTCTATAATTTGAAAGGAAAGACTGTAGTCTCTCTATCAAGACCAATTTCTAGCTTATCGGACAAAAAAATTACCAAAAAGGGACTGATTTTTCAAAAATTTACACTGTAACTATCGTACTAAATATAGTTTACGGTGAAAATTAAACAACGTAGTTAACCAATCGAAAAAAAGGGCATAAAAGTTTTTTTTTTTGGCTTCTTGTTCATTTTGGGCAGAAAAGTTTTTTTTTTGGTTTTCTTGTTCATTTTTCAACGTAAATTGTAAATATCGTACGATTTTTTGTGGAAAATACCCATCAGTTCACCAAATTCCAATCGCAACAAGGAACTATTGCCGGAATTTTTTTTTTCCGAAAAACCCTTTTTTTTTGCAATAACACGACGAGAAAAACAAAGAAGCCGTTTGGAATTATCAGAGTTCACGTGAACGAATGGCGTGTTGACGGGCCGACCCGCATGTGATCACGGCCTCCTTCTTTTTTCGATCATTGCTTTGCCAAAGAGTCGGAAAATAGATAAAACAAAGAAGAAGAAGAAGATCTTGCAGCTTGCAAAGATTGTTTGTCTACTCGGCAAAAGTTCAAACTTTTCTTTCTGAGTGGGCTCTTCAATTGAACAGAAACGCTCACCGTCTAGTTGGCTATGAAGTTTTTGAGGTTTTAATAGAAAAAAAAATGTAGCGTTTAGTTTCACTTATTGAAAAGTTACTCATGAAGTATTGAAATATTCATTTCTGAGCTAGAATCTCCAGAGTGGTCCTTATAGGTTCCCCCTATTTTACCAACCCCTATAGGGTCACTAATAATGCAAAAGTGGCCCCTATAAGAGTTTTAGTTAGTGGCTTCTATATGGGACATGCTAGTCGAAAATTTATAACTTTTATGAAAATTGCCGCGTCCATGCGAAAAACTTGATAAATAACCTTTTTTGAACAAATTTGAACGACCCCTATAGGGACCACTTGAGCTTTAGTTGCTAAGCCATTAGACCCTAAACCCCTATAGGGACGATCTGGATTATACTTCTATAGGGACCACTTCAAAAAGTATGTGAGAAAAAAATGGTCAAAAAGTTCCAGCTCAATTTTTCACAGTAAAAAAACATTGCAAATGGAACAAATTTATAGAAATTTTTTTCAAAGGGTTATTTTTTTGAAGCTGTTTTGAAAATTGAAAAAGTGGACAGTTTTTCTCAGCTTCTCCTTGAAGTTGATTGAGTTTTTTTAGCTGTATATTGGAATATCAATCAATTTATGAAGAATTTATCCAGTTAAAAAGTTCTCAAAACGATAGGAGAAAAACCTTTGATCAACCGAAAGTTCCAATAAATTTTAACAAATTTCGCAGTATCAACTACAGTTTCGTTTCGTCCAACCTAAATCACGACTTTCATTTTTTTTTTCACTCACGTGAGGAATAGAATCAGTTCATTACTTCTTTTTGTTTCGTCTGACAAACCATATGATCTTTGTCAAAAAACCTATCGACAGACTTTTCTAGCGAAAAAATATTTGAACTTGTTTTTGAACAAAAAGCGATAAGTAGATTTTTGATGGCTGATTCAGACGGAACCATCATTGTTCCCTGATGCGTTAATAATTCAAAAATTTCTGTTTTTTTCGATTTCTCACTTGGCGTTGTAAGGCACGTGGTGGTGATGAACCCATGGTTTTGCACAAAAAGAAGATTGTTCGGTGTTTGCCAGGAGTTACAGCGGTGTGGGGAATTGGCACGTGGTGGCGCTGGCTCATTGTTGTTGGCGGAAAGAAAAAAAAATGAAGATTGAAAAGCAAACGCTTTTGCTTTTGAGAATTTGAGGGGAGAGTTCAAAGGCGCGTCAAGTTTAAAGTTGGCAGGCGTTTTTTTTTCAAAGATTTTCCAACCGGGAAGTTTTAAATTTGAAGGCAAAGGATTTTCTTAAATTTGGGCTGCCAGGGAAAAAAGTTTGTTATACCAAATCGGGAATCATTTCCAATCAACTGTAATTTATTGAGGTTTTTTCATATTTTTTGGGAAGATTGTCTCAAAACGTCTTTGAAAATCAAATCCAATTTTGATAGGTTTTTTCTTTGAAGAAAAATTGGATTCTTATCTTTTGGAAAGCCAAATCTTGTGTTTCTGGAAACTTCGACAGTTTTTGAACTATATCTTTTTTCATTACGGTATCAAAATAAACAGAGGGGTCCCCATAAGGACCATTAAAAGGTCACCTAGAGACCACTTTACCGATCCCTATAGAGGCCAATAAGCTCGCAAAAGTGGCCCCTATAGGGGACATGCTTGTCGATAACTGTTTTGAACACTGATCAAAAAAGCACTTCCATGGGAAGAACAGAAAAAAATAAGCGTTTTTTGAATGAAATTGTGAGACCCCTATAGGGCCCACTTGTGCTTTAGGGACTAGGGGGTTAGACCCTTAACCCCTTCAGGGACCATTTTAATTTTACCCCTATGAGGACCACTTTTTCGGTCCCTATAGCCGTTTTTTCCACCTTAATATCTATAGGGACCACTCTGGAATTCCTAGAAGTGGGTTTAATTTTCAATTTCAAAAATTGTCTTTCAATAAAGTTTAATTGAAGCTTCAGTATCCTGGAAATTTTGAGTTTCAGAACAGAAATCTTTTTTTAGAGTTCAAACTTTTTTTCCGACAGAATTTGGATCTGCGTTTCCTATTTCAAGCCAAGTCCCATCAACCGGACAAATTTTGAAACTCTAATCCAAAAATAAAATTTCTGATGGTAAATCTTCCAGGAATCATCCGAACGGACTTCAGCAAGGCGCTCTACGCGGACGACGCCGAACGCGAGAAATTCCTGTCGCAGATCGCCCAAAGAAGATTCGGTGACCCCGAAGAATGCGCCGACGCCGTCGCCTTCTTGGTCATCTCCTGCTTGGGAATGTTTAGAATAAAGTGAAGATTTTCAGGTTTCCGACGAGGCCGGCTACATCACCGGCGAGACGATCGGCGTCAACGGCGGCATGCAGGCGCGAATTTAAAAAATCCGAATCTAGTCTTTCCAATGGCATAATCTATCGTGTTTTACCCCATTCAACTTGAAAAATTCTGACTTCTCTGACCTCTCTCCTCCCCAATTTGCTATTTTCCTCTCTGAGGGAAAAGAGAGCCCAGACAGGTTAGACATTTTTGGCGAGTGTGGTATTTTGATTTGATTGGACTAAAGACTCAAAACGAGGTTCCTACGTGTTTCTTCTTCCCCTTTGCTCTAAACCTCTGTAATATGCCCCATGTAATAAAAACTGTTCTCTTGCTTCATTATTTTTTTTTCTCTTGGTTCTGTCGGGAGCAACCTCTTACTTGTATCTTGCGTTACTTATTTTTCAGTTTCATCTTTTTCAAATTATTTTTCTTACCCTGAGGCCGTTGACAGGGATTTTAGACAATGTAAGTTGAGCTAGGGTCAAAAAAGGGGGATTTTCCAAGGGATTTTCCAAGGGCTTTTTTTGAAATTTCATAAACCTTTAATTTTAAAATTTTTACTTAAAAATGGGCTGTCTTTAAATTTTCAAAAAATGAGGATATTTGGTTTTTTTAAACAATTTTTTTGGGCCTTTGAGGTCTAAGAATCTTAGGCTTCTTAAAATAATTCCATTTTTAGTTTTTCTGAGGTGTCAATATTGATATTTTACGGCTCTTAAAACATTTCAAGCCAAGAAACTTAATTTTTTTCAAGAAATGTTTAAAAATTTTTCCTTGTTTTTTTCTAGGGTCCTTCTCATTGAACGCTTTGAAAAAAATAATTTGTTGTTTTTTTAACGGTTCTGGTCATTCTTCTTCTTTTTTTCGTTGTTGTCTGGTTCGTTTTTGTTTCGAAGAAGGGTTATATTTTTTTATAATAAATAGAAAAACGCAATTTTGACCCTGTTTTGAAAGGAATTGAACGAAGAAAAAGGTGACAAAAAAATGGACAGTTTCTAGAACGCGGAACTGGTATTGTAGCGGTATGCGCAGACGGCGAACAGCTTGAGGTTGCAGTCGGTGTTGATCCATTTCTTGTCGTTCAGAACGTAGGCCACGCAGTCGCAACCGTCAGCTTGCCTTGGGTAGCCTAAAAAAATTTATTTATTTTCGTTAAGTCCAGCATTTTGTTGAGCGAAAACGGACTTTTTGGCTAATTTTTAAAAATGCTTCCATTTCTTCCATAGGTAAACTTCGAAAAAGTTACAAAATTGTTAGAAAGCTCATGAAAATTTATTTATTTTCGATGACTTTATCACGATTATGAAATTATTTTTTAACAGAAAAAAGGATTTTTTCCGCTTATTTTCAAGAGAAAACATTTGATTGCCTGGAAAATTTTTTTTAAAAACTTCAAGTTGATAGTTTTACGAGAAAAAGAAGCTTTACTTTACTATCGGTTTTTCTTTTGAAGGAAAGGATTCATGTTCATTTTGGACGAACTCCTTGAGAAAAAAATTCAGCTTTTTTCAACCAACTATTTTTTCCCATGATTTATACTCGATTCACGGCTGGCTTGAGCCATCAAAAAAATGGGTCCTGACACGATAATGCATGAGATAGCGCCTGGCTTGTGAAGAGCGCAGACAGGACACGCCCCCTTAGCGTTTCAAGCTGGCCGTGAATCAGCTATAGTCCTTTTTTGAAAACAAGTATTGAAAAAGTTACCTTCTCGCCAATTGCTGTACATCGAAGGATCATAGGGATCCCCGTTGACGAAATACCAAGAACTCGTCGAGTTCCGCCGTAATCCGAACCAGAACATTCCCTCGTTTTGGATCCCGCTCACCAGGGCTTCAAATTTAAATTCAAGATCACTTTTTTGATAATAAAGCTCTTTGAGCAATAATTTATTTCAAAAATGAATAAAATGAACGGTGTTTTAAAAGAGTTTTTGATTCATACGCACCTTTCGATCTTCTTAAAATGGACGTTTACGATAAAATAAGGCTCTAGGAAGGTCTTTTAAAGGCCTTTTAATTTTGAATTTCCTTTTCTGGTACTTTTGGACTTTGCACTTGAAAATCTTCCATACACTCACTATCAATTTTCGTGAGCTCTTTCTCAGTTTGAACCGAGGTCAGAACTGGCTCGTGAAGGAATAACGGATGATCAGTAATACACGTCGTTTCGGCCTCGGCGAACTGCTTTTTCGCCGTTGAGACCTAGAAAATTTAGAAAATTATGAACTTTTTGGATTTTTTCTTTTCTTTGGAAAGATTTTTTTAAAGATTTTGAATTTTTCGGAAAATCTTTGGACAGAAGAGCCATTTTCAGTTTCATATTTTGGGTCGTGCAAGGCTTCTGCGCCTTTAACTTTTTGGATAAATGGTCCTGGAGCGATATCAAAAAATAGGGCTAAAACACAAGAGCTGGCGATTTTTTTGAAGTATTTTATGTAAACTTGGGTACTTTTCGAAAAAATTCATCAAAATTTGTAAATCTTAAGAGAAAAAAATGTAAGGATTCATCGGAAAAATCTTTTTTCGCAAATTCCTCGTAAAATCAAGAAACCTTGCATTTGTCTCTATTGTAATCGTCAAAAGAAAAACGAAAAAATGTCAATTTTGAATGAGATCTAACTCAGTTTTCGCATCGCAATTAATGAAAAATTTTTTTCGGAAGAAATTTTTTTAAAATTCACTCACCCTGTAACATTTGGCATTGCCGAGGTCCTGGAAGTAGGAAAAAGTTCCCTTCAGGGAGCACCTGAACTTTTTTTTAAAATAATATTAATTTGGAAAGAGTGAACTACAAAGAAAAACAGTGAAAGAAGTTCTAATTCATCCAAATTAAAGATGACAAAAACTGACGGATCGCTCCATTCGATCGTCGGATTCGGGGTTGGAGGTGGTGGCGGTGTGGGAATGACCGACTGGCAGAGGATTTGTCGCTTGTTCTTACAAGAATCCGAGTACCAAAGCCCGTCGGAGCTGTTCATGAAGGCGCAGTCGACGTAGTTCGAGGCGTCGACTGAAAAAGATTTTTTGGGAAGTGATATGTACACCAGGTTGGAAATTCTACTCTCCCAAGAAAGATTATTTCACTTCGCGGTTCGGAATTCTCAGCGAATTCGCTCAAACATTCTCTGATAATCTACAGGGAAGTTTTTCTCATACAGTCTTCAAACATAAATATAAATCCATCCATAGTTCTTGCAAAAAAAAAAAGATGGCCAGACGTAATGGAGGTCTAGTCGATTTTTCCAAAATCGATAAATTTTTCATTTTTTTGAAATATTATTGAAATTCAATTTTTTCAAGTGGATTTTTACGTGTGTGAAGTTAAAAAAACGGTTTTTGAGAAAAATTAAATTTCAAGTTTTTCTCACTGTTTTTTTGATCTCCCTTTTTCGTTGGTTTATTTTTTTGAATACCCATAGTCGGATGGTTTTGATTACAACCAACTTTTTGAAAACTTTTAAAGAAAATTCCAATATTTATGGGTGGATTTATACTTATGGGAAGGACTGTAGCGATATTATAATATAACTTCCGAGGGGACAACACCCACCAATCAGCTGATCATTCCCAAAACCGAATAGTGGTCGCTGAGCAAAATTCGAAGCTCCATCTGTTCCGAAAATGATGGAATCCACTACAGGGACAAGGTCGATGATCTCCTCTGCAGTGGTCACTCGCCGGAAGTTCACGTTGGCCGGAATCGAGAGTCGAGTCAGGGAATTCGCTGAACTCATTAAGTTAGTTCATGTTTTCGAATATTTGTATGCAACATAATTTTTGAAATTTGCGCTCTACGGATAAAATGATCAAAATAGGCCGGAACTCGTTCGATTCTTTCCTATTTTTCCTTGAAACAAGTTTTGATAAGATCGGGTAGAACTGGAATTTGAGCCAATAACTTCAAAAAAACCGTTTGTCCCGACGGAAACCGTGATTACGCTGGATTGGGCCATCGGTTGATAGCTATTCAGTTGCTTGACGACTGTCGGATCACTGTAATTTGGAAATAAACTTCTAAAATGACCACTAGAAACTCAAAACCCTTAAGAGGTCACTGTGAATTGTAACTTCATCAGAAGGAAAATTTGGTCATTTATTATTCAATTTCTAGAAAGTTTGATCTTTAAAATGACCACTAGAAACTCAAAACACTTAAGAGGTCACTGTGAATTTTAATATTATTAGCATTAAAGTGTTTTTTCCGATGATTGATATTTCAAAAATGAACTGATTACTGATTTCTAAATCTTCTGAAAGCTGCGATAGAGCTCAGAACCCTTAAGAGGTCACTGTGAATTTTAACTTATCAGCAGGGATAATTGATCATTTGCTCTTCAACTTCTAAAAAGTTTGACCTCTAAAGTGAACACTAGAAACTCAAAACCCTTAAGAGGACACTTCAAATATTAACATTATTATCATCATAATTAATGACTTTTTTTTCGATTATTGGATCTTATTGAAAAGCTTTATTTTTGAGAGTTCACTGTTTTTGGAACATCTAGAAGCTAGGATTGGACTGAAACCCCTTAAGTGAACCCTGTGAATTTTAACATTATCAGCAGAAAATAATGACCAATTCTTTCTTGTTGATTGGCTGCTTCTACAGTGTGTATTGATTCATAAAGATCACTGAAAACTTGATCCTTTAGGGGCCACTTGAAATTTTTATCCCTATAGTGACCTCTACTTCTCGAATGAGTTCCCCTTTCTGTTCTGAAACTAACGTGTTAGCGGAGAACATGATCAAAGATAAGTAAGAGGCCGTGAATGGCCGGATCGAGTTGGGAAATCGATTGTAGTAGACTTGAGGCATGTTCAGGTACATCCTGAAAAGCTGAGAAGTTTCTTAAATAATTTTAAAGTCAAAAACTAACGATAAGAAGTCCAGTGGATTGGTCCGTGTGCAGTCGTGAGTTATAGTCTCGTTCATATTTGCGACCATCCCGAGCATTCCTTCGTAGGTCGAAGTGTAGACTGGGTACTGTAGGAGAGTACCGCCGGGGTTCTTAATTTTTATGGATGATTTTTAGAAAAAAAGTTACAAGGAAGGTTCCCCTTGAGTTTGGGATTTTTCTGAAGTTAATGAAGGCCTATTTTTCACGACTTTCTATCTTTTAAGATGACAGGTTTCGAACTTTTAAAGGCATTTTACACTGAAAAATATGTAAACTTTATTAAGGATTTTTGGCAATTTTTCAAAGTTTACTGTGAGAATAACTCGTGATACATTAAACTTTATTAGAGTTCTAGAACCTTATGACGCACTGGAAAAAGCTTTTGTTTATTTTTTAATTGTGAGCCAATAATTATGACGCACGGGAAAACAATTTTCCGGGAGTTTTTTGAAATTTATTTTTTTATTATTTTTTTGTTCATAAATAAATTTAAATGCGTTAAAATCTTGCTTCAATTAGATTCAGTTATTTTTTTAACAAAAAATGTTCGAAAATATCAATAATTAAGGTCCAAGAAATCCGAAAAAATAGGTCCTTTTTAGACTTTGAGTGTTCGTTTCTCAAAAATTAAGAAGTTTTGCAGGTTAAGACGTTCAGGATTTTCATCCTGTACATCAAAGAGTGTTCTAGCCAATTTTCACAAAAATCCTAACCCCAAAGTGAAATGACCATCCTTGTTAGTCACCTTTGTACATCCATAGGGAAATATCGCGAATTGAGCTGGACCCCTGGCCGTTATGTAATCACCAAGCGATTTTGCAAAGTTGGTTTGCTGGAAAAAGTTTCTTTGAGACCACTTGAAACTGTCTGACCTGTCTGCGCTCTCTTCCTTTTGATTCAATGGAAATATAAAAATAACACCCAAACACGAGAGAGTCTACCAAGAAGAAGAGGGCGCAGAGAAATCAGACTGTTTCAAGTTGAAACGAAGGGAGAGTAACTTACAGCGTAGGTCCAAGAATTGGTTGAGTAAATTGAGGCGTCCACTGCTATGACGATCGCCACGGACTTTCGTTGTTGGGATGGTGGTACTAAACTTGAATAACGACTGAAAACGGCTTTCGTTGGCGGCGTTAGAAAAGTTAAAGTTATTTTCAAACCGCAACGGGACCGCGACGCTTCGAGTCATTCCACGTGCGACCATGGTGATAAAAATAGATCTAGTTCAAAAGGAAAATTTATTTTCTTTTTTCTTGGCCCGAAATCTCTTACTAAATTGCTGTGATTATTTTTATCATTCAATTTCAATTTTTTTCCTAAAATCCCAAAAACTCGACATTCTATCGGAATTTTTACATGACAAATTCATTGTCAATCACTTTTGGTTATCAAAATCGATAAGAAGGCCTTAATCCTGTCTAATCATCTAATTTTTTCTCTCCTGAACGTGGAATCGTCTTTCACTTGTAATGTTTGTTTCGAAATGAGTTTTTGAAGGAACACGACAACAAGAAATTCCTCAAAAAACAAGCATCAGATAGTATTAAAAAATAATTTTTCAACCGAAGCCATTCCAAATGCGATCAGCTATTCCAAATGCGACCAAACTATTTTTTTCAAAACTCACAAGTAGTCCTCGGCGGTGGATTGGTAACTGGAGGCGCTTTCGTGGTGCGAAGAGTTGGATCGGCTAAAAAATGGGACTAGGGAATATTGGTAGGAAAAAGTCCCACCAAACTGGTTATAGCCCGAAGTATCGCCGTTCATCCAGCTCCACGAAGAACCATCGCTAGCCAAACCAATGAAGGCTTCTTTCGTGTCGGCGTCGAGGAGCCATTCTACAATAATTATCATAATTGGAATCTGTGTGTGCAAAGCCGTCGCGAGGCGGTTTGGCCCCAATTTTCTGATTTTGCTCACGAGTGAATCGTCCTACATTGAATAAGTTTCAAGGAATCTTCTTCAGCATTTTTCAGTATGATACGAAGATAATTAGCAGAGAAGCAGAGTTTCAGCGTCTTTTTGATAATTTTTATCTCATTTCTGCTCAACGAGTAGTTGGTCTTCATTGAGATATAATCCCGAAGTCCGCCACCCTTGGACAAGCTGTACTGTTCCTAGATGGAGAAGCAGCTGATCTTAGGAAAGCTCAGCTCTCTAACTTTACTATTCAAAGAAAGACAAGATGTTCTACGGGCCATTTTTGGTCAACGCGATTCCGTAAACCGACGATCAAGTTTCTCAATGATTCAAATATCCACTGAAGAATGAATGAACTTGTAATTTTTTAGTTTATAATCAATTCGAAGATTCTATGAGAGCGATAAATTTTTTACTAATGGCGCCAAAAACGCGTCGCGACCGCCTCGCATAGAAACACCGTGAGACTTGCATAAGGATGATTTTTCGTTTAAAAAAGGAAAGGATACTTTAACGGAGTATGAAAATTGTTTCAAAAACTGGTCCATTTTCTTATATCAGCGAATGAACTTACATAAATATATCTCAAATAATGTTCTTTGGAGGTTCAATTATATAGAGATGACTTGAGACTCTACCAGTGAAATAATCATTTGAATTGGCGCCAAAACGCGTCGCGACCGCTTCGCACACGAAAAGTCGTTAAAATTCGCATTTCTATGCTGATACTTCTCTTTTCTGTATGAACAAGAGTAGTGATAGTTTACAAAAGTATAAACATTTTAAAAAAATTTTCCAGAAATTTATAAATCGAAGATATACGCATTTTTTTGAGAATAAACTTTCGCCTGTTCTTTAAACATTTCAATAATTGTTCGCGAATGAAATATATCTTTTTTCGAGGTAAATAAAGTAAAAAGTTTTTCGTTGCAAAACCTTAACGTCTTTTTTTCCCTATGATCCTTTAAAAAAATACCAGAAAGTTGTTGTGAATGGACTTTTTCCAATATTCGCTTTTTTCAAAGTATATATTTTCGTTCTTTATAATTATCAATAGTGAAACTAGGTGTACATACAACTGATAAGGAGATTATCATCTGAAACTAATACGATAACCGGCCCCACCTTTGACCTGCTCGTTCTCGCCGTCGTTGTCGATGGAAAGTTGACTCAGAGGGTTATTAGTATCCTTGGAAAGGACATTCTTGCAAGTTGTGGTCAGAGAACCGGAAGCTGGGTTCTTGGAAAGATAAACGCATTTATTGCCGATCCTTCCGAAAGGTGTTCCGCTGCTCTGAACGAGGGCGTCGCATTGTTCATCGGAATACGAATCATGGCAGAATGCCCAGAGCAGAAATACGATAGTTACGGACCACATGCGGTTCCAGAACAAGTTGGTCTCTTATCTAACCAGGAAAAGGAGAGCCGCGAAAAAAAAAAGAAGAAAGTTCTGAGGGCGTCGCCCTGACTTTCTTCGACCAACTCGAACTTCCTTATCGCCCTCTTATACTATTTGATAACAGTGACTCAATCTTAAGGCTCTTTTTTCCTGTTTGTTTACATTCCCGAAGTATATAAGAAAAAATTGAATGATATACTGAGGGCCTTGGAATGGCTAAAATCGTCGATTATTTTTTGCAACTTTCCAGTTGATCCAAAACATTCTATTAACGAAATTAAAGGAGCATAGGCTAGATGGTTTTTAACATTTCAAAGCGAAAAAGGGTTTCTGTGTCGGAATGCAGTCGATTATCTTTCAATCAAAGTTTGAAACTAATAAAAATTGAGAATTTTCTATTTATCTTGTTTAGAATTTTTAGAAATCAAGTTTTTTTAAACCTTACCAGTGACTTTTAAAGACGCAGAGGGATTTTAAATTTTTTATTCGAAATTTTTTCGAACCTCGATTTTTGCACTGTTTTTGAAAATTCAAAAGTTGCTCTGTAAGCTTTTCCTAAAAAACTTTTTTTTTCTAAATCAAAGTGTCCTTTTTTCTGAGTAACTGAAACCCCTAGAGTGACCACTTTTGCAAGCTTTAGCGTCCCCCCCTGTCAGGGAAGGCCCCTAGAGGGAAACCTCCAAGGACCCCTACAGTTACCCCTCTAGGAAGCCACTTTTGAAAATTAATTCAGTATTTATCTTCTCAGAGTCTTGAAACAATTTTCGAAGGTGCTATCAAACGATGAGTGAAAGAGTGTGCTAAAAGAAGAGGTTTAAACATTTTAAAAAGTCATTTTCATCCCAAGATGATGGTGAATACTCTACCATAATTTTTTTGTTCGTGACATTTTCCAATCACCTCATTTTCTATCATTTTCCGCTCTTCTCACGCCAATTATGAGAAGGAAACTGTCGGTCGGAAGTTTATGGGTTCGACACGTTCATTAGGCCACATAAAACCGCTATCATGAGACGAAATATGAAGTTAATTGCCCATAAAACACCATCAATTTTGCTACCAAGCTGTCGATTCTACAGGCAAAAAGTTGTGACGTCCTAGGACTGATTAAAGATTGTCTTTTCAAGAGCATTTCGAAGGGGGAAATTTTTGGTCGAGATTAAACTCCATGTGGCAATGGTTGCATTGTGAAACAAAATGAGTTTCAAAAATGTTTGTAATTATTTGTGGTTTCTTCTCTTTTTCAGCTTTTAGTGGCTTCAAGGCTTGAAAAACGGCGAAATTTCAGAAAGATGATACAGATCTTTTTGCATGTGTTTTTCATACAGTTGGATCCGAAAAAAAGGCAAAATTATTTATAGTAATCTGTACTGAGTAAAATTTTTCAATTTTTAGTACAGCCCAAAAAGTGTTCGTATTTTAGAGATTTTTCGAAAGTGTGAAAACCCCTTTCTCATAAGTATAAACCATTTATTTCAGTTAACAACCTGGAAATCTTCAAAACGGCACTTTATTTTCATAATAGGAAATTCAGAAAATATTCGTAACTTTTACAAACACCCGTGGGAGCATCATTATAAGGCGAGAAATTACAAAGTTTTCAAATCGAGATTTTTCAAACGAGAAATAAATAACAAAACTTGGTTTTTCACACAATTTCCGGCTTTGAATTGTTGCGCGACCCGCGGCGGACTGGTATTTCTACTGAAAATTCAGAAATTAGTCGAAAAAAATGGTTGACCGCACGGGGAATGGCTCGAAGCGTTATTTCGGATGCCCTAGGGCGCAAGTCGTTTTTGAGTCGGGCGCAAGTCAAAAAGAGACATTGCAGTGAGCCATAGCGCGTGCGACCGTGTTCGTCAACAAAAACAACAGAACACAATTACGAAACAACGTGAAAATCACAACATTTCGAAATCACCATTGAGCAAAGTGTAGTTTGAGGGTCTGTCCGTTGAACGGCCGTTCATTGCTGTATTTTAAAGTTTTTTTGAAATTTCTATCCAGTTTTTTTGGGAATTTTTCTAAGATTGGATATACAGTAAAAGTGATTTGAAAAACTGAATTGGGTAAAAACTTGGAATATTGAGCCTAAAAACACCTTAAAAAAATCTCCCAAGCTTGAGATTTTCTCAAAAAACTCACACTTGTGATGAGTCTCGGAGCAGTAGTCAAAGTAACGCCGGCACTTGCTGATCACACTCAACGTCCAAAAATGCAGCAAAATGAGCAAAATGTCCACCAAATGCCATGCAAACGATAGTGTCTCCGAGTTGTCGCCAAATGCCGCTAAAAATTTTTTTGAAAATTCAAAGAAATGATAGAAATTCTACCTGCAACGTGTTCCTTGTAGAAAATGTTGACGAAGAAAAAAAGTAGCCGCCCATGAAAAGTAGGTAGAAGATCGTAAAGATCTGGATAATTTTTTTATTTTTTTAAACTTCGTCCTAGTTTTTGGTTAGATATATTCAATATTTTTTTGAAGTTGAGTTTTGGCCGAAATAAGTAGTATTCAAATGAGAAACTTAGAATATAAATAAACTAATCAGAAAAAAATTACTTCAAAAAAATAAATAAATGGAAGATATAAAAAGCTGCCGTTAAATTTTATTTTTCCAACTTCTTTTCCCAATTTTACATACATAAGATCCCTTTTCACATGCTTCTTCTTTTTCCATCTGTTTTTAAGCAAAAAAAAAAACAATCTTAAGAACACCAGAGCTCTATAGGGGCAACCTTAAAGGACCCTCTAGGGACCACCATCTCCTTTTAGAAGGCACTGAAGCTTTTAAAAGTGGTCCCTATAGGGAACATTCTAACCGTTTATTGTTATCATTCCCTTCAGAAAAAAACACTTTCATGCGTAAAAATCGATAAATTACCGTTTTCTGAATGAAAAAAAATGTCAACCGAGGATTAATCGATAAAATTTTGTTAAAAGAACCTTTTCAATTTTCAAATCGTAATAAAATAATTTGAAAGGCCTGTAGGGGCCACTTAGTTTCACCCTATAGGGACCCCTTTTTATCTTTTATAGGGGCTTTTATCCACCCTAACCCCTAACCCCGTTCCGACGCGGAGCTTAAAAAGGTGAAACTTGGATTTTTTCAAAGCGCCAATCAATTTCAAAACAATCTTCTTTCAAGCTCAAACTTTGAAAACTCACAACGTATAAGTAGAAGGGCAGGAGGAGCGCTGAATTGTGCCGTAGGATGGGATACATGGTCAGAAGGCATATTGAAAGGCCGACCAGCGCCGTGTAGATCGAACATGTCGGCAGTCGAAGGAAACTCAGGCCGATGTTGAACGCCACGAAGTAGCTCAGAACTATCTTGATCGTCAGCTGGAAATAATTGAAATTTTATAAGATTTTAAGAACAGAAAAATCAAAAAAAGAAGGCGAAAACTTTTGATTTTATCTAAACTTAGGGACCGCAGACCAATTTTCAAAAAATTTTTTTCAGCATTGAGCTTTGTATGGTTTGATAGCTGTTTCGATTCAAAAACTCAGAACCGTTTAGTTTTTTTCGAAAAAGATTGAGGATGAAAAAAAGTTATGACGAAAAATGTGGCGCGCCGCGCACCATTTTTTAGTACTGAAATTTTTGGTATTATCCATTTTTGACATTTTTTTCTCGATTTTTTTCTTCTAGAACAAGTTTTTGATACTGGTCTATTATGATGTAACAAATCATAATAGAGTGCTAAAATGATGCTCATCAGCTAGTTTGCCGAAAAAAAGTCGGTATTTTCCAGAAAACAAAAAAACTGACGCTTGCGGGCATCGAACTCGCGACCTCAAAATGAAAAAAATCGCAGCGCACGCGCTGCGCCAAGCTGCTAGGTCTAGCAAGGGGAGCTTCCATCCGCCTTACCCTTGAGCCGTTTAGATAGCACAGATTGCCTATTTCAAAAATAAAAACTTGAAGTAATTCAGCTATTTTTATCAGAATATGTTCGCAAATCTTTACTCAAACTTTCCGTGAAAATTCACTTCGAAAAACTGTTTTTTAGTGCTTTTTTCCTCGTTTAACGATCGCTGCCTTAAAACGGCCCCGTAAATTTTTTGGCAAAGACGAATTTTTTATTTTATTCTTTTAATTGAAAGATTTTTCACTAATAAATGTATATAATCGTTTAAAAAACCTGCGTTCGGCCGCTTTCTGTGTGATAAACGCCGCTAATTTTATTCTCTAGTTTCAAGAGCATTTTTGCGTATTAAACAACTATTTCAAGCACAGATACTGTGAAGAAAAATTTAAGTAAGGCCATGATCTAAATTTTTAAAAAACAAAAACTTGATTATATTCGCTTATTAACGATATTTTGAATTATGACTTTCGGCGCTCCCTAAAAATTTTTTTGGCAAAGACGAATTTTTTTATTTTTATTGTTTTAAAATTTTCGTTACTTGAATCAAAAATCATTATTTAAAAAGAAAGAGTGCGTTCGACCTGAAAAACACATGAAAAAAAGCAAAAAAATGACAAAAATTTTTTTAGTTCCATTCACGTTTTTTTGTACGACATTCCGCGAGAACGCATCAAAAAAAGCGTGAAATATTTTTTTAAACGAAAGAGGAAGCTTTTTCTGTACATGTGTGTCAAATTTTATTCGCCAGTTCCACATATTTTGCAACTACAACAAAATGAAAGTTGAAAACCAAAAAAAAGCCACTTTTTCTATCGCGAAAAGGGGCGTGGCTTTGCGGTCCCTATCTAAACTTCACCCAAAATAACATTTTAACTCTCTTATAGTCTGTTCAGATTTCAAATGTCAAGTCCTCGCTGAAGCTCCGCCCCCTAATGACGCGATAAACCAATCAGAGAGCGAGCCATCCACAGAGCCTTTTCGAATGACGTCATTCTACTTGACATTCAAAATCTGAACAGACTATACCATCGTTAAAAAATTATTCACTCAAATTATTCGAATTTTCGAGTTTTACGGTTCATGAAGAGTTTATCGTACATAGCTGATTCTGGCCAGCTTGGGACGCTAAGGGGGCGTGGCCTGTCTGCGCTCTCCACGAGCCAGGCGCTATCTCGTGCATTATCGTGTCAGGACCCTTTTTTCGATGGTTCAAGGCGGCCGTTAATCAGCTATACAGCTTCTTGATGAAATTCCTTTTTGCCCTCCAAAAATTGATTACCAAGGCGTGAAACCAGCCAAAGTAGCCCCTTAAGTGGCTTCTGACGTTATCATTTTCAGTCAAATAATCAACAAAAAACAGCTCTCCAAGAAATTTTGATTCTTCAATCTTCTAGAAAAAGTTGCCACTGGAATATTTTAGAAGCTCTGAAGCTTCCTACCCGTTTTTGAATATTTTAAAAGCTAAAAAGCTGTTTTTTCTATGATTTTTTGGACTTCATGAATTTTAATCTTATGGAGAATTTATTAACCCGCACGCCTACACGAGAAACGATCTTCATCAAAATAAAATAAAAACTTTTTAATGACGCAGGAAAATTTTTTAAATTAATTTTTCGGATTTTCTGTGAATGAAATCATTACCAAAGCGTGAAACCAGCCGAAGAAGCACCTAAAATGGCGATCGTTGATGGGCGATTCCATCGCTCAAAGGCCATTATTCATCTCCCGACGGCTGGGAAAAAGATATTGATAATAAATCGACGTTTTTTTCTAATTGAGCAGATGCACGTGAGATCGTGTGAAAATTCAAAAGATCAGTTAATTTTCAAAAAATGAGCAGCGAAATAGTAGGCGAAGATGAAAGGGATTAGAAATAGATTGTGATTATTGATTTTTCGTGAAAGGTGAGGTTTATTGGGTTCAATATTTATGAAATAGTGTGAAATCTGGTTTTTCAAAACAGTATACGAAATTATGATGGTAGATTTTGCAATTATTTTTTTGAAAAAAATGAGACTTTTTGGAATTTTTTAAAAATGACCAAAAAGATATCATGATTTTTTTCATCTTCGGACCAAGTTGAGGATATTTAACTAAATAATAAAATGTAAAGAAAAGTTCCGAATGTTTGAATTTGAAAAAAATTTACGTACCCCTACTAAAACCGAACTATCTGAAGTTATTGGTTATTTTTTTAAGGACCAAAAAGAAGCAGAAAAAAATACCCCATAAAAAAATATCAAACTAACACGCATGTTTTTTACTCCAAAGAAATTTAGCGCATTCTCGAGTGAGCCTTAAGTGACCACTTCTTATTTTGCTTGGTAGCACTGAAAAAATTTTGGTGGTATGAAAAAAGGACCAGCGAAAATTCAAACGGCGAATTTTCCGACGAATTTTTTTCCGACTTTTTTTCTCGATAAAATCTTCTTTTCAAATCTTCCTATATAAAGTAGGTAGTTTATTCATGATTAAAACACAAAGAAATAGGGAAAAATGTTAATAGATGTTTTAAAAACCGAAAAACATAAGGGAAAAAAGTCGGAAAGGGATCCGTCGGAAAGTTCCCTAGCGATATGAAAAAATCGGAAAAGTCGCCGTTTGAATTTTCGCTGGTCTTTTTTTCATATTACCAAATTTTGATTCAAAAAGGTAGTTTTTAATGCAATCTAAGCCATTGGTAACGCGAAACGGAGGTTCTCCGGACGTTTCTGGGCCTTCCTAGTGACCACTTTAGTAGCGTTAGCCTTCTTAAGTGATCCCTAGAGTTGCACAGAAACGTCCGGAGCACGTCCGTTTTGCGTTACCAATGTCTTTTGCTCAGGATTAAAAATGGATCCCAAACGGAATGAGATTTTGAAAATTTCGGGTTGAAATGAGAATGAAATAGCCTCTGGCAGTAATCAGAACCAAAAAGGAAGACCCGAGGCTTCAAAAGGAATTTTTCGGTCCAAAAAATGCTAGATTAGCGAGTAAATTCTTGAAAAAATCTTCTTTTTCCCTGCTAATTTTCATCGATAGAAACAAAGATTTTCCTTCTTATCGGTCAAAACAAGGATAATATGGCCTCAGACTGTGATAAAATACGGAAAATTTCCCGAAAAAAAGGACTTTTGAGCTGAAAACTCTGGTTTAGCGAGCCATTCTTGAAAAAAAGTTCTTTTTCTCACTGCTCATTTTAATAAAAGTTTCATCTCAATAGACAGAAGATTAACTTGGATCCAGAAGGAAATCAAAAGATTGTGATAATTTCGAACCCCAAAAGTATTTCCACATTTTCGGGTTGAAATGAGGAGGAAATAGCCGCAGGCAGTAATCAAAATTTAAAAAAAGACCGAGGCTGAAAAAACGATTTTTTTTAGAAACTTCTAAGCTAATCAAAAACTTCTTTAGCAAGCAAATGAGAAAACAAAAAACCATTTTTTCGGTTGCGATGAGAAGAAAATAGCCTCGGGCAGTAATCAGAACCGAAAAGAAAGGCCCGGGACGAAAGACCCTCCAGGTATATCAAATGACAACGAGCCGAGCGTGTGTTAATATATAAACGAGGCAGTTGGAGCGGAAACTTTTTGGGTGCTCAAACCTCAAAGTTTATATTTGTACACTACTCATGAAACTTTAAATTGCTTTTTTTGGGGGCTATTTTCGGATTCACGACAATGATATCATGTAGGATACTTGGTAAATTTGATTTTCAAGAAATCAAAAATTTGGATGCGATCTTTAGAGCTTTTCTTGGTAATTTTCTTGGAATATCACGAAAATTTGAATGAGATTGAGGGCTTGGAAGGGTTAGAACAGTTCTGAAATTAGAAAATTGCTTTTTAGGGGGGGAGGGGGCTATTATCAGATTCACGACAGTGATATCATGTAGGGTGCTTGATGAATTTTATTTTCAAGAAATCAAACATTTTAATTCGATATTTTAGAGCTTTTTACTTTTCATACATCATATCTAACGTTGATCTAAAAAAATCTAAAAAAATCTTTAAAGTTTTTAAAAGCTTGAAAAAAATCTGAAAATTTTTTTAAATTCAACTCACTTTAGCTCAAAATTGGCACCAAAAAAATGACCAATGATTACTTTTCACCCTAAAAAATCACAGAAACCACATTTTAAACCAAAAGTACACAAAAGACTCTCCCCGTCAATCATTTTGTCAAAAATGTGTGACAAAAAAGCCGCGGGAACCTTCAAAAAAAAGAAAACGATGAAATTCTTTCAGTTTTAGCACTCGATGTAGTCCCTTGAAGTGTTAGAACAAATTTAGAACTGGTAGGCCGATTTTTTGATATTTTGCAGCCATTTTTAAAATTTACGACATTTGCAACCGACCAGAAACGAGTTCCGCAGAGAAGTATGAATCTAATGGAAACTTAGAATGAAGTGAATTAGCATTTATAAAGTTTGTCCCGCAAAATGTGACTCATAGGGTTCACGAAAAATTAGATTTATCAAAAGTTGTTATTTTAAATGAATTAAAGTTTCCTAAAAAAAAGCCAGTCACATTTTTCAATTTCTTTCCGCAAAAAGAGATAAATCAAAAAAACACGTTGTTGAAAGCAGAATGGCCACGTTGGATTCGCCGTTCTTTTTTTATTTCCTGGATTTTCCTGTCACTTTCAGAAATATTTTGTGACACTTTCAGGAAGTGATGTGATTTTGGGAAAAAAAAAGTAGCAGCTCAAGAATAGAATATGAAAAGAATAATAGAAAAAAATTCCTAAGTGGAGATTTTTCGTACAAGATTTTTGAAAAATAATTGTGAAAAATCAGAAATTATTATTTTTTTGATTTTTTTACGGCTTTCTTAATGGTTTTTTTGATGGCCTTAATGTTTTTAATGAGCTATAATAAAAAAGAATTTTTGTGTAAGTTTTGTAATTTTGGGCCAAAACTTAGTCACAAAACTTCAAAAACAAGAAATTTACCCTACTAAGGGGGCTGATTTTTTCTTTTTGTATAGAATTTCTGATAATCAATCAGAGTTCTGTTTGATGTACTCATAGGACATTTTCAAAGTCTTAAATTACAGAACTTTCTATTTTCCCGGAAAAAAGAGGTCAAACGCTCACAATCATCAATTTTATGGGTTTTTGATAACTTTTCTTGATTTTGAGAACAGATTTCTCCAAAATTAAGAAATTTCGACCCTTAAAATCGATCAGAGTTCTCTTCGATGTACTGGTGAAATATTCTGAAAGTCCTAACTTACAGAACTTACCAGTTTTCAAGAAAAAAAACGTCAAAGACTCAGAAAAATCCATTTTATCGGATTTTGATACCTTTCTTTGATTTTGAGCTCTTTTTTTTGAAAATTGAGAAATTTCGAGACTCAAGATTTTTCAGTATCTTTTTCTAGTGCATCAGGGAGTGTTCTGGCTAATTTTAAAAACTAAAAAAAGAAAAAATTCCAAGCGAAAAACTACCTTTCTTTTTTTAACAACCTCCGATTATTGGATAAATCAGTTTTATTTTTATTTTTTTCTAGCCCTTTTTTTCTGTTTATCTAATTTACTTGAAAGGCCTAGAAACCTAGAGATTGTTGGACTAGTCAAAGAAAAACTGGAATAAGTAATGAAGAAAAAAAAAATGAGGAAATGGAAAACAAACAATTTTTTTCCCAACCGAACAGGTTTATTTCACTTTATACCGTAATTGTCGAGGGCCAAAGACGAAAAAAGGTGGAATAAAATTGAGAAAGAAATTGAAAGGCACCGGCGGGGGCGGTGAATAATGCGCATATCTAGAGATCCAGCCGACAAAATACATATTCGAACGGCGTCTTTTCCAGCCAATTTCCCCATAAATTCGCCTTTTTTGGGAAAATTGAGACGAGGAGGGTTATAAAAAGGGAAGGAAATGAGGAAAATGAGATGGAATTTTGGGCAGAACCCTTGAAGCTTGATAGGATGATGATTTTTTTTATTCGAAATAAAATTTTTTTAAAGAGAATTTTTGAAAGAAATCCCAAAAAAACTGTCGTCCTGGCGATTTCCCCGAAAAAAATCGTTTTTTGGCCAAAATTGAGACGAGAAGGGTTGTAAAAAGGGGAGCAGAATGAAGAGAATAAAATGGAATTTTTTTAGCCGAGCTCTTGAAAATTTTTGGCTGACTGTTGAGATCTTTATTCGGAGTATAACTTTAAAAACAATTAATTTTTAAAAAAATCGTGAAAAAAATGCCGTCCAGCCAAAAAGAAAAAAACGCCTTTTTTTGGTCAAATTGAGACGCGGATGGGTACAAAAAAAGGGAGGAAAATGAGGAAAATGAGATGAAATTTTGATCAAAGATCTTAAAAATTTGGCTGTCTGATGAAATATTTATTTTTTTATTATAAAATTTACAACAATGAAATCAAAAAAAATCGCAAAAAAATTAGTCGTTCCGCCAAAAAAATCGCCTTTTTTTGGTAGGATTGAGACCAGAAGAGTAATAGGAAGGAATGAAAATGAAAGAAATGAGATGAGATTCAAAAATTGGCTCTCAAAATGATTCAGCTCTGTAGAAATATCAGCTAACTTTGAATTTGAAAAAAAAAGATTTTCAAACAGAATTTCATGAGCAATAAGAAAATTACCCTCTTAACAATCAATTTCAAACGAAAGGGATGAAAAAAGTAATATTTTACGATTTTTGGAAAAAAAAATAGCGCAAACAACCTCAATTTTTTGATACTGGAACTGTGCACAATGAACAA